GGTTGGAGTGGAGCCTCCTCTGTGCTCTTGGCCCCCTCACGTCCATCTGTCATGGCCTCCACACATTGGGTGCAAAGGCCTGCTGAGACACAGACTCCCTCACTGGCCTGAGCACCCTGAAGGGCAAGAGCTGTTTCTTGGAGCTCAGACATCCCTGACATAACTAGTGGTTTATGGAGCACTGTTCCCACTGCAGACAATGGCTGAGAAAAAGCAATGCTTACCTGTGCTGAGGTATACCTGTCAGGCCTGTGCTAGCCACTTTACACACTCCCCAGTTGTCCTCATTTTCTAGGTGGGGACGCTGAGACTTGGAGAAGTTAAGTCACATGAATAACCAGCGGGGACAGTGTAGGATGGAACCTACATCTCTCTCTCTGTCTGGACTTTCTGCTCTTACACAGTACAGATGCACAGATGAGCCAGGCTGTGGAAGATTCTCCTTAGGTTGTCACTGTCACTGTGGAATGAACATTGAACAGCCATCTCTGCATGTCATTAACCTCAGCTGTTAGATTTTGGTTGAATTTTTCTTGAGATGACTTATTTTCTTCAAAGCATATAGATAAGTGGTTTTTGTATGGAGCCTACCGTTGTTTGTTTGCTAACTGTTTACTTCCCACCGTCACCCTGTGAGAGGCAATGGACAGTGCTGACATTATTTTTTTCTTTTAAAGATATGGAATTGGCCCCAGTGATGTAGCTCAGAGGCAGAGCGTCTAGTGTGAACGAGGCCCTGGTCCCCATTCCCAGCACTGCTCCTGGACCCCATTCCCAGCACTGCAAACAATTTAAAAATAACAAGAATAAAATCTCAGTAAATGTGTGCACTTTGTGGTATTAAAGTTTTTTTTTTAAATACACACCTTTAATTCCTGGATTAAGAGGTGGAGGCAGGAGGATTGTGAGTTTGAGACCAGCCTGGGCAAAGTTAGCAAGACTGTCTTGGAAATGAAATAGGCCAGGTATAGTGGCTCATACTTGTAATTCTAGCTACTCTGGAGATAGAGATTGCAGTTCAAGGACAGCCCAGGCAAAAAGTTTGTAAACTCCATCTCAATCAACAAGCCAGGAGTGTGGCATACAAGACCCTACCTGAAAAATAAGCAAAAAAGGACTGGAGGCATGGCTTAACTGGAAGAGTGCCTGTCTAGCAAGTGTGAGTTCAAACCCAGTACTGCCCAAATAAATAAATAAATAAAAACGAAAGGGCTGGGGTGCAGCTCAAGTAGCTCAAGGACCTAGTATGCATGAGGTCCTGGGTTTAATTCCCAGCACCACAAAAAAATAATAAATAAGGAAGCTATGTATGTTACATGTAAAATTTTACCTCTGTATGGTAAAAGTCACTCTTTGGTGTGCATTCAGTGTTTTACACATGGAAAAGGGAGCCTTAGACTGTGGGGTCCTTGGCTGAGGTCTTAGGTGTTTCTAAATTCCATCTGCTTATAAGGTATTAGGAATTCCAGAGTGTGACAGTGTTTAAAAATGAGGCAGCAGTGTGGTTTAGTGGCCCACATTAGATGGTAAGTTGGGAAACCTTGAGTTTAACCTACACTGGTTAGTTGTGTGAACTTAGAGGCCACCTGCCACTGAACCTCATTTCCATTCGAGATCATGGCAGACCCAGTGTCCCAAAGGAACCATTTGGCACACATAGTCATGAAGTGTGCATTTCCTGGGGTGTCTGGTATGGAAACTGTCCCATCAGGTTTCCCATGCCCGGAAGGATGTGAGCCTGCAGAAGGAAAGCTCGGTTCCTGCCCTGAATCTTCCCTACATGTCACACATCAGCAGGCACTGCTTCTGTGTAAGTCACAGCAATGGGGACCCCTTTCCAGGACAGTGCCTGCTACAGTGCCTTTGAGCTGGAGTTTGACAGAGCATGGCTTTGAAAATGTTGATTAAAAGGCAAAGGAACAACAGCCTGAAGAAATAGGATGAGGCAGACATACCAGCTCTTGCTTGATTATGGGCTTTTTCCAGAGATATACTGAACCCAAGAGATGCTAAGAGCTCAGACCCCTGTGTCCCTGTGCACAGTGTCTGGAGGGAGTTGGAAGGGGTGAGTTTGAGCACAAGCTTCACCAGCAGACTCTAGAGGCACATAGCAGGGGGCTGATCTTCCTGCATACTGCATTAAGATACCGCCTTTCAGGCTGAGTGTAAGAAACCTACTATTAAATGTGACAAGGCACACATTGCTGCCTGCAGGTGGCCAGGTCTTGAAAGTCATGCAACCAGTTGCAGATGACTCATGTTTTCCTGTGTTTTGATGCCAGGAAAAACCTGCCCTCCAGCTCGGCTGTGCTTTTTAGACATGTGGCCCTGGCCTCTTCTTCCCCTGGACCTGGGGTATCCTCCAAAGTGCTTGGTGAGCCTCATCCCTAGGAGTGTACAAGTTGCTTCTATGGCAGAGAAGCCAGGCAGGTTGTTGATCTTGAAGTGCCCTCTCTAGGTACCCTCCTGCTGGGGGATAGTAGGATGTTCTATTTCATGCTTTCTCTCCCTTGACTCACTTTGCCCTTCATCTTTCAAAAACTAGGTCATCTGTCCATCCATCCATGCACCCACCCATCCATCCATCCCCTCACCCACGCACACATCCATCCCCCACCCACGCACACATCCATCCCCCCACCCACGCACACATCCATCCCCACCCACCCACCCATCCACCCACCCATCCCACTTGACATACATTCGTCCATCCTTCAATATATCCATCTGCCAACACATATGGCCAGACTGTGTCTGGCACATAGCAGTGAGGAACAGTTGACCAACGACATCTGTAGGGCTGGCTGTAGGTGGTGCCACCTACTTCTGTTTGTATACTGTTGGCCCCTTGTGTGGTTGTGCCTCATACAGCCGAGCTTGGAATCCAGTGGGCTGAGCCACATCTGAGCCAGACATGTAAACATATAATATGTCAGACACCCTGATGAGCACAGTGAAAACAAAGTGGGTGTCAGCGCCCACGGCTCCCACAAGGCAGGCAAGGGGAGAGCACTAACATAAGTGACACTGAGTAGAGCAGTGCCGGGATAATGGAGCTGCATATTAACTGGGGTCTCATTGACCTGGGCTATCACTCTGAGGGACATACAATATTGACGTGAAAACCCTCCAGAGGACCGCGAGATCTATTTTTCTCAGAAAGTTCCCTGCTTCCTTAGCTTGGCATAAACTCCCCTCTTGGCCTGCTCTTCCTCCACTCACTTCTCACAGTGGATGGAACAGGGCCCTCTTGAGTGCTTCCCTGCAGGTCCCCCAGGGGCCTAGCATGATCACTCCCAGCTGTCCACAGTGTCATCAGATCCATACGCACCCATTTTCTGCGTTCTAACTCCAGTTTTGGAGCCACCTCCCACATGTGCTGTGCACCACCCTGTTTTTGTGTGCTCTGCTTTTGAGGGGACCACTCCAGTCACCCCTTCAGAAATGGCTGCACTGAATTTCTGCTGTTTGGCTCCCCCTACCCAAGGGATGGTGCGTGTGAGCAGCTTGAAAATAATGAAAATAGTAAATAAGCCTTTGTCAAGGGCCATGAGTGAGAGTGTGTGTGTGACCTGGTTGTTCAGCTCTCAGAGTTTTAACTAACAGACCTGAACCAAGGTAAACATTTGGTGCATAGGACGTCCACTGTGAAAGCTAGCATAAGTGTCCAGCAATGGGGAGCCACTAAACAGTTTCTTGTAGACCCATAGGATAGTGTTTTGTAGGCACATAGGGGTGGGGATAAGGTTGGCAGTCGCTCCACCTTGCTCCCCAGTCTTGCCTTCCTGAACTCCATGACTGGTTAAGCTTCATCCCTCATCTTTCAGCCCCAAAAGAGCAGGCACAGACCCCAGGTGTCCTCTTGGGTCTTCAGAGCTGGGCCTGGCTGGGAGCTGAGGAACCCTTTAGCTAGAATGGGATCCATGCATGGATGAGTGGATGGTGGGACGTCCAAGTGTCGCAGGTATGAAGATGTCACTGCAACTGTGCTGAAGGAGGAGGATTGTTTAAGAAGTCTTCTCTGCACTGTCTTTACAATGTCCCCAAATTGGTCATTATCACATTCAAAAACACCTTAAGAGATTCCCGTTTTACAAATGACCCGGTTTCTTCACCAGATGAATGATATGCAAAAGGAAGGAGCCTGTCCAGCTGTCGGGCTGCAGAGAACAGGGAGCAGGTGTCCTGGGAGTCGAAATGCCCCGATAGAGCCAGCTGCCGAGAAAAGACATTTTTGAGAAATGAAGTAAACTTGAATGTGGTGTGATGAGGGGTTGGGATAAAGGGATTTGTGTTAATTGGGTTCCTTGGGATGATGGGTTGTGATTACACATATTTAGGAATTCCTTAATGGTTAGAGAGATATATTCAAGTATATACAGCATGAATGAAATGATATTTGGGATTCGTTTTAAAATACTTGACCCAAACCAGAAAGCACTTGAGGGGGAAATCAGGTGAAATGAGTATGGCAGAGCGCTGTATGGAAGAAGGATCGAAACTGGGGGATGGATTCCAGAGAACTTTTTCAGTGTACCCCGCCCATTTATTTTTGGGCAGTACTTGGGTTTGAACTTAGTGCCTTATGCTTACTAGGCAGGTGCTCTACCACTTGAGCCATGCTCCAGTCCTTTTTTGCTTTTGCTTTTAGTTATGTCTTAGATAGGTTCTCACAGTTTTGCCTGGGGCCAGTCTGGGACTATGATCCTCCTACCTGTCACCTCTGGCATTGCTGGGATTACATGCACCGTCCGTCATACTTGGCTTGTTTGTTGAAATGAGGGTCTCACTAACTTTTTGCTTGTGCTCACCTCCAACTACAATCTTCCCATTCTCTGCCTCCTGAGTAGCTGAAATTATAGGTGTGAACCACCACTCCCTGTCCTCAATGCCCTTTCTTTACTTTTGAAGATATTTGAGATATTTTTATATTAAAAGTATTAAAAATTAGAAGAAAAAAATTCTTCTGACTTTGTGCTTTGCTTTGCTTTGCTTTTCAGAGTGACCGACTCCTCATCAAAGGTGGGCGTATCATCAACGATGACCAGTCCTTTTATGCTGACGTCTACTTGGAAGATGGACTCATAAAGTGGGTTGACGAGTTGCACCTCTTAGGACCTCAGTGTCACTAAGCTGCCTGGCCTTCCTCAGAGCAGAAGGCTGGTGCTTTGCCCTGAGGTGACAGTGCTGTGTCTCTGTATTTCAGGGGCACACAGCGGGGAGGCCAGAACGCAGGTGGAGTGGCCCTGTGTGGTTCCAGGCTCTTGCTATACCCTGGACGTGGCTTGGTATTTAGGGCTCACACTAGGCTGTGAAGGACAGGTGTCATCCCCTGCTTTACGCTGTAGAAGTGAGGCTGAGTAGCAGTTCATGTTCCTGGGAAGGTTAGGGTTGAGGCCCAGAATTTCTACCTGACTTCCCAGCTCTGACTCCTGCCTGAGTTGCTGGGGTTGGCTGAGGTTCCAGGGAGGGAAGAAACTGTTGGCTCCTCACAGAGCCCTGGATGGCTCACTGTACTCATGACCACCCAATGGGTAGGTAGGAGTCCATTTGGACTGCCATAACAAAATGCCAGAGGCTGATGGTTTAAACAATAGAAATTTATTTCTCATGGTTTTGGAGGCTGGAAGTTCTGGTCAGGGTTGGTTTCTGCCATGGCCTCTCTCCTGGGCTGGCCAGGATGACCTTTGTGCCATGTGGTGTCTCTCTCGTTAGGGTACTGATCCTATTGGATCAAATCCAGCCTGTGACCCCACTTAACCTTAACCCCTCCTTGGAGCAGTGCGGTCATGACCCCATGACTTCAGCACGGTGGACACACTTCAGCCCACAACGCAAGGCAGTGGCCTCTCTGGCATCACTGGCTATGGTAGAGCAGTGTGGCTCTGCTGTGAACATGGGGTGGCCTGGGTCACCTCGGCTGATGTTGGCCTCTTCTCTCCACACCAGAAGAGGAGAGGAGGGGGCCACCTCAGGACCAGTGTGGGTGGGTGTTATGGAAAGGAAAGCAGGGGAAGGCAGCAGTGTCCATGGGAAGATGACTTGTCAGCGGACCAGCCTGGGGCCACGAGAATGGGAGGGCTGGAGATTATTGGGTGCAGACCCCCTGTGTAAACCCCCCATTGAAGAGTCAGGCACGGGACAGTGAGTGGTCCCTGTTTCCCATCACCCTCTAGTCCCAGGCTTTGACCATTGCAAGTTCAGCCCAGCCCTCGCTCTGCCCGCTGGCTTCCCTTCCTCTTCACTCTGCTTGCTCTCCAGCCATTGGAGGACTTGTCAGGCTGCTTCCACCTTGGACCCTTGCAGTCATGAGTTCCTGCCTGGAAGGCCTTCCCTCTCTTCCTGTCTGTTCCCCCGGGCTTGGCTTATGTTAGGTGGAGAGATCCCTCTCCTAGAAAGCCTGCCCCAGCCCCGTGGCAGCATGGTACATCCCTCTGTCCTCCTGGCCTGCCGGCTGCTGTTTGTCACACCTGCCCCTTGGTAGAAACTGACCTCGTTGCCTGCCAACCCCAGGGTCTAACAGGTGCGTGGCACAGGGTGGGTACCCAGGGATTGAGGAAAAGTGCAAACAAACGAACCCTGTACCCTTGGGTCCTGGCGTGGATGTTGCTCTGAGCCATAGGACAACCTGGAACCAGGATGCGGGAAAGGCAGATTGGGGCTGTGGGGTGTGGGAGTCAAAAAGGGGCTTTCTAATGGTGCTGCTTAGCTCTGGAGAGGACAGCCCTGGGGGCCACCCCTGTGGGGGTCTCTAGGGTTCTGAGGCAGGCAAGGAGAAACAGTGCTGAGAGCTGCTTCATGGGGCCACCCTGTATTAACACCTGCCACATATTGTTGGAGATTTGAGCTGGTCACTTCTACTTCCAGTCCTTCTCAGAACTGATGGAACAAGTGGTCATGGATTGAGCTGCCTTTGTTAACTGCCTGCTGTTTGCAGGAACATCTGGAGTTGCAAGACTTTGGCTAACCAGGTGTTCAGGAAATATATTTCCCTAAATTCAGTATTTGTCAGCCCCTCCTACTCAGAACTCAGAGCCCCCTCTCCACTAGCACCCCATGGTGGCTGAAAAGCTCTTTGAGCTTAGCCATTTCTTTTCTGCTCTGACCCAGTGACTTGTGGCTTTCCATGGCCATTTTGAGGACGTAGCTGGTGGGCAGTCAGAGGTCACCTATGCTGACCCCAGAGGCCACCTGGCATGCTGAGCCTCACTTACTTGCTTATTTTCTCTGCTTTATCGAACTCCATGAAACTTCTTTTTCTTTTTTTAGTGGCAGTTCGGTTTTCCTAAAAGCTCTTCAGCTGTCATGGGTCACTGCCCGGGATTCATGGAGGGCTCCTCCAGCACTGGGGAGTCAGAGACTGGTTCTGAGGGCTCCCCTGACCATGGTGATGGAGGAGAGGGTGAGAGGGGCACTTGTCCAGTGCATTGAGTTGAGCGGCCCCCGTCCTCACCTTCCCTTCCATGCACACTGCTACTGTGGCCATTTGCCAAGACTTTTTGTTAACACATGGTGCCCCTGGGGTCCCAGTTAGTTCAGTCCCAGTGTGGAATTTGAACCCCATTGCTGGTCCTTTAGGAGTGAAGCAGGAAGGTAGTCACACCTGGCGCGCAGAGCCCTGACCTTAGACCTGAAGAGACGAGGACTTGAATCCAGATCCAGGATGACTTGCCGTATGATCTTGGATGAGTCGGCACACCCATCCCTGTTCTGTGGTTCTTTTGCAAAGTGGGAGCACCTGCCTTGTGGGGCTCTTGGAGGGAGAGGAGAGAGGGTGGGAAGAAGCTCAGAACAGGCCCTGCCAAAAGCATGGACTGGGTCCTCTGCCTGGTGACTGAGTCACAGGCTCCAATCAGGTGGGGCTGTGATTCTGCCAGCAGTGCTGAGGAGAAGCAAGATGCCATGGTTTGCATGGCGTGTCCATGATGGACCATGCTGGGGCTGCCGGGGCTCCTGTTTGGGACATTCACTTTCTTAGAGCTCGCTGTGAGTGTTAAGTGAGATAACCCACAAGGAATCTCAGCTGGCGGGCGGCTTTCAGGCATTCAGTACTCAGTATAGAGAGCCATCTTTGCAGGGGTCTGGCGTCTTGCTGAGTCCCTGGCCCTGCAGCTCCTGCAGTGGCTTCTGTAGCAGCCCATGTGTTTGGAGAAGGGTGGCCAAAGAGTTGGACATACGTTGTTTCCGTGAGATCCCCGAGGGTGGGATAGGAGGGCTGCCAATTGCTGAGGTTTGTCTCCCTCCTGGGCTCATTTGGAAACTTCCCTTCTGGGGGAGGAAGATCCTAGTGTGCCAGGGCAGTGGGGCAGGGCACTGGCCAGCCACACTCAGCAGCATCTGCCCAGCCCTGGTGTGCACCCTCACTGCACAGCTCACGGTGTTAGTAGCCTTATCAGGCAGGCCCAGGGAGCCCTCGGGCATTCCCGAGGCCGGCGCTCATAAGTGTCTGTCTGCATCAGCTTGTGCAGGCTGCTGTAACAAAGTCCACAGACGGGTGTAGAGGCGGGGAGGGGGGTAGGGAAATGGAAATCTGTTTCTCACAGCTCTGGAGGCTGGGAGTCCAAGATAAGGTGTGTCAGGGCTGGTTCCTCCTGAGGTCTCTCTTGGCTTGGAAATGGTGTCTTCTCCCTGTGTCTACATATAGTCCTCCCTCTGCCTGTGTCTTAATCTCCTTTCCTGTGTTTTTGTTGTTTGTTTTTGTTACTGTTTTTTGAGGCAGAACTTCACTGTGTATCCCAGCTGGCCTGGAACTTGTGATCCTCTGTCTCCACTTCCTGAGTGCTGGGATTACAGGTGTGCGCACCATGCCTAGCTCCAGCCTCTTCTTATGAGGACACTGGGCATACTAGATTAGGGCCACCCTAGTGACCTGGTTTTACCTGAACCACCCCTGAAGGTCCTGTCTCTAAATAGCTACTTTCTGAGGTGCTGGGGCTGGGAATTCAACATGTGAGTTTTGGGAGAGGACAGCTAAGCCCATATGACACCTCTGAAAGCTTGCTGTGCTCAGGGGACTTCTCACTCCTTGTGTGATGACTGTCCTCTCTGTGTCCCTCAGGCATTGCCAGAAGTGGGTAAAGTGCCCCAGGGAGAGAGGCTGCCTCACCTCTGTTGAATACAGCTCTGCCATCACCTCTCCAGATACCAGGCCAGGTGACACAGCTCCTCTGTGCTGTTCCTGGTCCTCTGTGGTACTGAATTCTAACAATTTGTGACATTAGACCACGAGCTCCTCCAGGGCAGGGCCCCCACCTGAGTCCTTTCTATCTACCCAGGGTCCTGTGTTGGGCCTGGCTGACATGTGGATTTAGTGACATAGAAGCAGTTGACCACCATCTTACTTCTCTTTTAAGAACCAAAGATCATTCTGTTGTTTGTCTCCAGACAAATAGGAGAGAACTTAATTGTACCTGGTGGAGTGAAGACCATTGAGGCCAATGGACGGATGGTCATGCCCGGAGGGATCGATGTCAACACGTACCTGCAGAAGCCCTCCCAGGGGATGACCTCAGCTGATGACTTCTTCCAGGGGACTAGGGCAGCATTGGCAGGAGGGACCACGATGATCAGTGAGTCACACTGTCCCAGCCTTAGGGACATGAATTCTCTCATCATCAACATCTTCCATGCACCAAAGGTGCTCCGTCTGTACCAGGCCCTTTGCTCAGGGTTCCATCTAAACTCACTGTCCCTGTAGACATGTCTGAATTTCACAGGCCTGGGGTCACCTATGCCACTGGTGGTACACATAGTGATTTCATAGGCATATGGGCATTAAACTCTTTACACATTATTTTAATGTATAGCAAAGTGTAAAATATCATGGATATTATTGCTTAGGATGAGATTAAAGTTAGTATTAAGATTCTCAGAAACAGAATAAATTTTAAAATACCATGTAAAGAAAGAGTGACATAGATGATATTATGACAGATGGGGACCTGGGCTGGGATGCCTTGGCCAAGGTTCCACTGCTGGGGAGTGGTTGTATTAATCGGTATTGCTGTGGTAATGTTGTGATAAGGTGATATAACAAACAGCCTCTGTGTTAGTTTGTCTTCCATTGCTATAGCAAAATACCTGAGACTGGGTACTTTATAAAGAAGTGGTTTATTTAGCTCATAATTTTGGAGGTTAAGAGTCTGAGAACAAGTTACCCCCTCCATTCAGCCCCTTGGGACGGCTGCCTCACCTGACGCCCAACATGGTAGATGGCACCATGGTGGGAACACATGAGGTCACATGGCAAGACAGGAAGGGAGAGAGTGGGAAGAGCCAGTCTCACTCTTTTCTAACACTCATAGTCTTAAAAAATCAGCTCTCTCTGAGAGACTAGTATCGGTGTCTTCCTAGGGCACAGCCTGAGTGACCTAGTCACCTCCTACTTTGTCCCACCTCCCACCACTGAGGATGGAGCTTCTGATACATGAACCCTGGGGGACACGCACAAACCACATCTAAACCATGCGGCCCCCAAGTCTCAAGTGACTTTTTCTTACTCACATGAGTTGGGGTAGGGGCTCTGGGGTGGCTGCTCCCAGCTGCAGTTGGGTTCAAGGGCACCACAGATCCCCATTCTGGGGTCAGTGGTAACTGACCGTGCTCTTCTTATGGCCAGTGGCACATGCAAGGGGGTCTGGGAGAGCCTTGTGTGCCTGGTTCCACTCTTCTCTTGTTCTCTGATGAAGTGAGTCACGTAGCCAAGACCGAAGTCCCTGGGGCACCCTCTGCCCCAGTAAGTCATGGTGGGGGCAGGGAGGGAAGCTGCAGTGGACTACCTAGGTTGCTAGACTCCGCCTCCATGCGCTGGGCAGCCTGCTGTCCCCTTTGTCGGGATAGCTGCTTTTCCTGGAACTCCGTTTTAACAAGTGCCGTTAGTTAAATGGGCGACAGTTGCTCGTAATGTTCTGTCAACTGTGAGGGAGACTGTACTCTTCCAGGCGGCTCATCTATGACTGTGGAGTTATGCCTGTCCCTGGCAGATGCCCTGCAAGCGAGATCTGGCCACCACAGGTGGAACTGTTTGTCCAAGCTACTTCCAGCCACGAGCCAGCAGGGTATGGCTGAGTTCCCCAGGCAAGTGGGTCCCGATCCCAAGGATCCTCTGAAAATGAGCCCAAGCTTTGGACCCTGGTGGGCGTGAACTTGGATTGCAGCTGACAGATGAACCAGAGACTGCATGAGGACAGCCCAGTTCTTAGCCTCTCTGAGCTGTGGCCACCCCTCTCTGACCTGGGTGTCAGGCTGAGCCCCTTGGCGTGGTTGGGAGATGGCTGTGAGATTCTGTACTGCAGTCCTAGCCTATGGCAGTTCTGAGAAGTGGAGGAGGAAGTGCTGGGCTCCAGGGCCTGTGCAGGACAGGGGACAGAGCCCTGGACCAGGAGCCAGGGTCCCCATGATCCCCACCCCACCCCCCCTTGCTCTTTCTCTGTAGCCAGCTGAGAGATCCTGGAGTCTCCTCCTCCCCATCTGGAAGAAGGCAGTTTTCAGGGTGTCTCATGGAACTCAAGAGCCATGAAGAGGCCACAAGGACCATGGGGGAGGAGCCTGGGGTGGGCATGAGGCTTCTTCAGTTTGCCCTAGCACTGTGCCAGGTGCGGGGAAGCCAAAGCAGGCGGGAAGCTTGTTCTCAAGGGGCTTATGGTCCCCACAGGAGTCACTTAGCCACACAGGTGACTGTGAACTGGTGAGGACTGCCACACCCTGCGGGAGGGACTCAGGGAAGGCCATTTAGATATAGTCTGAAGGACTACAGCAGGGAGGAGGCAGAGCACCAGGAGAAGAGAACAGCACATGCAAAGGTGCTGTGGTGGGAGCTCCTCCCGGGCAAGAGACAGAAGCCCAGACTGGAGCCAGGGCAGAGGCTGAGGGACAGAATCAGAAGATGAGGCTGCAAAGAAGGGGCAGAACGGGGCCTCGAGGGGCAAGGTGAGAATTCTCTCTTCACCTGGGCAGTGAACAGCCAGGGAGGGGTTCTAAGCAGAGGATGGTGTGTTCTGTTGGGGTTTTGAAGAGAGCAGAGCAGAGCAACCCTGATTAGGCGAGGCTGGACAGTTGGTTCAGCTGACAGGTGAGGGTGGCCTAGCTGTAGAGGCTAATGGCAGTGGACAGGTCCAGGGTGTGTGTGGCGTGAGTCACCAGCACGTGGTGATGGATTGGGTGTGAAGGTAGTGGCATGGCCAAGCCTCACTCCGCTGGTTGGTGAAATCCTCCTGGGAGGTGGGGAGGCAGGTTTCCGAGTGGGATGGGCAGAGCGGTGTTAGGTTTGGGACAATGTGGTTTAGAGGAGCCTTCGACTTGTCCTAGAGGGGAGGCCAAGGACACACCTGGGTTGGAGTTGCATAGCTCAGAGGAAGCAGCAGATCTGAATGAGCAGGTGCAGGAAGAGGAAGTCTAGGGCTCAGCCTGCTTTATCATTTAGCAGACAGGTAGGTGAGGTCAGGTGAGGCTTAGAAGACAGTAGGTGCCCTTGGTTTGATCCACTTTCCATTTTAGATTTAATTTGTACAAGAGGTGATATAGTTAACTTTTTTCAGTCTCAACTGCCTTTCTCACCTTGGCGCTCTGGTTATGTGGGCGTGCACAGTGTGACGAGTCTCTAAGAAGCCTCCCTCACTTCCTGGCCATGAGACCGTGGACAAGTTCCACACCCTTTTTGGACCTGCGCTTTTTCATCTGCAGAGTGGCATGGCTGTGGGGATTAGCCAAGGTAATTTACATAAGGCCTTTGTGTTATTATCTGACACGTAATAAGCATTTGATGAATAGTTGTGATGGTGACAGTGACGGTGACCAGGACATGGTGGTCATGACTGTGGTGATGAAGCCTGAGAGGGTGGTGGAGATGCCACTGCTGGTGGTTATGGTAATCTTGGTGACAGTGATGGCAATGTTGATAATGATGGTGAGTGAGGAGCAGAAGGATGGTGGTGGGCTGGGCATTGTGGGGCATACCTGTAAAACCAGCTTTTCAGGAGGTGGAGATAAAGAATCATGGCTTGAGGCCAGCCCAGGCAAGGTTAGTGTGAGACCCTGTCTGAAAAGCAAACTGAGAAGTAAAAGGGCCAGGGTGTGGCTCAAGTGGGAGACTACTTCCCTACCAAGCAGGAGGCCCTGAGTTCCATTCTAGGGCTGACAAAAGAAAAGAACGGTGGTGATGATGGTGATGGTGGTGGTGGTGGTTTGATGGGGGGTGATGACTAGTGGTGGTGGTGGTGGGGCAAGATGTGGCCACCATTGGAATGATTTGGTCCTGTTTCTCTGTCTAGTTGACCATGTTGTTCCTGAACCTGGGTCCAGCCTGCTGACTTCCTTTGAGAAGTGGCATGAAGCAGCAGACACCAAATCTTGCTGTGACTACTCCCTCCACGTGGACATCACGAGCTGGTACGATGGTGTCCGGGAGGAGCTGGAAGTTCTGGTGCAGGACAAAGGTCAGTGAAAGCCCCAGAATGGACTTTGGGATCCCTGCTCCTTGATGGATCCAGATGAGATCAGGCGCTCAGGGTGGTATGGCCATAGACTAGATGGACCCAGAGATGACAATGAATTAGCAAGCTCTGTCCCCAGCAGTGAAATCACAGGCTGCCTCTTGGGAGGGGTTCCATCCTCCTCTTCTTGAGCTCTATGGAGGGGTGACCCTTGTCCACAGCAGAAGGCCAGTTTCTGTAGCCTGGCACGCAAGACCCTTGCAGGTCTAGCTACCCTCCGCTTTCTCTGCAGCAGCCCATCCTGGGTTTCCGTCATCCTGGCCTCCATCCCCTGCCACCTCCTTGGTCTCAAGCTTTTCCCCTGCCAGCAGTGTTCTTTCTCGTTACTTGTCCAAATGCTCCTCTCCCTCAAGATCCAGCTCAGCATCTCCACCTCCCCATCAGAATCGCTTCCTTTCCTTCACCATCCAAAGCTGGTTATGTGGACCTCTTTAGGGGCACCATGTCCACCATTCTTGGACTTGGGGCATTGGTTGTCTGCCTGGCTCTTCTGTTCAGCCCTGGGTCCTGTGAGGTACATGTGTCTGCACATCTCTGTATCCCCCTTGGCTCCCCACTGGGCTCACAGGAGGTGACCTGCCCAGGCGCACATCCTGTTTTGGGATCCTTCTGTCTTCGCTTAACATTTTATGGGTAACATTTCTCTTCATCAGTAACTTTTGAATGGCTCATAATAAAGTAAAACTCAATGGCTAATTTGCTTAGCTGTTTTCTTTTTATCGGGCACTTAGGTTTTCTACTTATTTTGTTATAAATCATGTTATGGAAACATCTTCCTCTGTAAACATTGTGTTTGTAATCATGTCTTAGACTTCTGGAAAGGAACTCACGAAGCTGAAGGTGCTAACATTTTCCAGGATCATGACACTTGTTGCCAAATTGATTTCCCGAGCGATGCTCCCATGTGTGCACCTGGAAAGTCCCTGACCCCTGCGTTTTCACACGGCTGGGTGTGCGGTCTCTCAGGGGCTTAGCACGTGCCATGCGTGGAGTAAGTTCTCAGCAGGTGTTTATTGCAGGAGGGAGTAAGTTAGGAAGGAAGAGGAAGAGAGAGAAGGGAGGGAGAGACGCATCTGGAATCCTTTGTCCTGAGGGATGTTATCACATTCCTCAGTGTCAGAAGGGCTTGTTCAGATGTCTCCATGGCCACCTGGACAGGACATGGTCAGGATGGAAACCAATTTGGAGCCCATTCAGTCCAGAGCTTTCCTTTTAGAGATGGGGAGACTGAAGCCCAGAGAGGTGTAATGACATCTCTAGCGTCACACAGTGACTAGAACTCACATTTGGCTCTCCTGGCAAAGCTGCTGCTAGCACTGTTGTTGTCTTTGTGGGAGCTGCAATAAGCTGGTGCCTCATCTGGATAGACAGATGGAAGGACTTGCCCATCAGCCCCAGGGGCTCAGGCTGGATTTTGGCCCCCGTGGCTACTTCCTCTGCAGTGTGGGGTATGGCTCGCCTCTCCTCCAAGCTGCTGTGCAATCCTGACCTTCCTGTGGTATGCTGCTCACATCACAGGCAGGCTACTAACAGGACAGTCCACAGTGCCTCCCCAAGGACGAGCTTGGCTGGGTGACACAGGGTCCCTCGTTCGGTGGCTGAATCAATTCTGTCCCCAACATTCCTAGCTTACTTTAGACATCTCAAAGTACAAGGGGAGGTTTTTCTAGAATAACTGTGACAAGGTGCTCTGTGGACTTGGCAGAGCAGAGCAGCTGTCCCTCAGGATGGCGTTTGTTTTTACAAATCACTGATTAGCAAGTCCTGCCTGTAATTCTAAGCCACAAACCCCAAGCTTTCTTAACATTTACAGTTCTCTTGGGTCTCAGCAACATTTCAGTCCCACAATAGGGACTTTTAATTTACACACCATCAAAAGGAAGAGAAAAATCAAGTCACAGTGATGAGGGAAGGACCTTGGCTTGGCCAGGGGACTTCCTGTGGATCAGGCTCTTGGTTATTTTCTCAGGATGGCAACCCAAGGGCAATGGTACTGTTTTCGCATGAATGTCCTGGATCTTTCTTATGTACCCTTTGTTACCTTGTGTACCAGCTAGACTTTGCTGTATAACACATGACCCCACACCTAAGCCTTAAAACATAAACACCTATTTAGCATTCTGCTGGTTGGCAATTTGGGCTGGCTCAGTGGAGCAGTTTCTTCCTTGTGTCTCGCCTGGGCTCACTTAGGCATCTGGGCCTCAGCTGGGATGGCTAGGTGGGTCCATGTACCATCTCTCATCCTCTGTGGCTTTCAGGGACTTCGTCCCACAGTGGCAGTGTTCCAAGAGGGCAAGCATAGATGCTGAAGAAGCCCTGGAAACTGAAGCTTGGACTTCACACACTGCATTTCAGTTGCATCCTAGAGGTCAAACGAAACCATAAAACCAGCTCAGATGCAAGGCATGAGGAAAGAAAAGACTCCATCTCTTGACAGAAATGCCTTAAAGAATTGTGGCCATTTAAATCTACATAAGGCAGCACTCTGGCTAGTGCTATTTTTTGTGCGCAAAATACTCTCACCTGTCCCAGTAGCCCCAAACCTCCATCCAATCCCAGCCTAAGACTCAGAAGTCTAGTCTCTGATGGTCGTTTTTACATAGGATGCAGACGAAGCCATTGGTCCACTGACCTGTGAACTAAAATGATAAGTTGGGTGCGTTCCCCACACAGACCCACCATCAGTGTGGGACAGGGACAAAGTAAGCACAGTAAACATTCTCTCTTAAAAAGAGAAAAATGGCGGCACCTCTAGAAACTCTGCAACCCAGCAGGTGCATACTCACAGGGCTGTCTGTTCTGGCTTAGAGAATGATCCTTCACCAAAACTCAGTTCTCCTCCTCGGGGGACATCCCCAAGTTCATAGACTTGACAAACTACATATCACCCATTGGCCAAATCTGGCCGTTTTTGTATTGCGCTTGAACTAAGAATGCTGTTTGTATTCCTACAAGTTTTTAAAAACAAGCAAGCATGCAACAACAAAAGAATATGAAGCATAGACTGCATTTGGTCTACAAGTCCTAAAACTCTTGGTAGCCCTGCCTTTTCTGAGGGCTGTCGTTCTCTGTCCTGAACCATGGTTTGCATCCATAGCCCAGGCGTCTCCATGGCACACTTCTTTGCCCAGAAAGATGGACCGTATTTGCAGCTGAGTCTCTTTCTCAGCCTTTTCCAACCCACAGAATGTTGGCATCCCGAGGCCCCCTTTCATTTTCAGGCGTCTTCATCTCTTTTAGTGCTGATGCACCTTTCTTAAAAGCACCGTGGTTTCTAATATATCAGGTTCTAGTCTGCTCCATTGGGCAAATCTTTTTGAGACCAGTCTTCTTTAGGTCATGTTCGATGTGCTTTGTGACAGTGTCTTTAAGAGTTTTGGAAACCCTTTTATCTAGGTGAGGGTGTCTAGGTACCACCTCACATCCTTCTGAGCTCTTAAAGAGTTATGGTTATGTACTTCATGCAATAATCTTTACCTTGAAGACTTTTCTTTTCACTTTGAGAATTGTTTGTAGGATGGCAAGAGGAGAGAAGCAGTTCTGTTTTTTAATCCAGCAATCATGGGCTTCCTATATGTCCACTAAATCCTGCAAACTGTGCCTCCTCTCTCTCTCTCTTTCCTCTCTCTCTCTCTCTCTCTGTACAGGGAATTGAACTCAGGCCTCGAGCTTGCTAGGCAAGCACTCTGCCACTTGACCATGCCCAGTCTCTGCTTCCTGGGACCCCTGCCACAGCCCAGGCTGCATTAGGTTCCCCCACTGTGAGTCCTGACAGCACTGTCCTCCTGGCAGTTTCCACTGTGCATGTGATGGTTGATTTACTGGTCACATGACACACGTGCTTCTTTTTTTCTTAAACACATTTTTCTCTTCTGTTATGTCTTGACACAGGTGTCAATTCCTTCCAAGTCTACATGGCCTATAAAGACCTCTACCAGATGTCTGACAGCCAGGTAGGTCCTCCTGCCTTTCCACCTCTCCTTTCCACCCTGGCTGGCTTTACCAGGGAAGGCAGCACGGGGCAGGGGACCTTACGAGAACCTGCAGGCAGGACCCCACACTCAGGTCTGGCTTCTGGCACTAATTGCACCGTGACCTTGTGTTAGCCATGACCCCTCCCAGACCTTCCTTTCCTACCATGTGGGTGGACCAGGGACCCTGGTGTGATAGTTCTCTCTGTGGCTCATCCCTGGCATTGTGTGCAGAGCTGATAACATGCAGATGCTCAGGAGTCTGGGTGTTGGGCTTAGGAACACAAACTTCCTGAAAGCTCTGCTATTGGTTCAGGCAAGATGGGGACCATTGCATTGGCTGTGACAGAGGACAGCCCTGGCATTCTTGCAGGCCAAAGGCAAGATGACAGGCATGTCACTTTTTTTTCTCATTGTAAAATCTCAGGCCTTGCTAACTTCAGAAAAGTGTTATGTGGGTGCAGAAGTTAAGGAAAGTATGCAGCAAGCTGGTCTCTAAGTGTAGTGCTTACTATATATCACCCCCCTGGCCTCCTTCCAGCACCGTTTCCCTCTTCTCTGCTTGTTGATATGGTGGAGGCTGCTTAAGACAGCCTGTTGGGCTGCATACCCCGGCCCTGCCTGCTGCTTCTGTGCAACTTTCCCAACCTCTCTGGGCTTTGGGCTCATAATAGCTCCTGTCTTGTGGAGGTTGTCAGAGGACTGAATGATTAATACAAGTAAAATGCAAGGACTGTGCTGGTGCTCTGCAGGTGTCATGTAGGTGTTAGGAAGCTGTTGTGGGTTGTTACTGCAGAGTTAGAAGGACACTGGGAGACCCTCTCCATGTCCTCCCTTTAGGTGTGTATGCACTTGGGCCAAGCGAGGAACTTACCCCAGGTTGGCTGCAGGCCTTCTGTGCAAATAGCAGAGGGCACCGTAAGGCTGAAGGTTGGCTCACGTGCATGGAGGCAGCAGCTTGTGAACACCCATGTGATTGTCATCTGTACTTCTTTTGTTCTAATGTCAGTTCCACTGAGGTCCCGGGTATTGATGGGATCCAGTGGCCTTTGGGTGTGGGTCCTCCAAAGTGCTTCATGCCTGCACACACCCCGCCCCTGCTGTCTACCTTTGCAAACACACATCCCAGTGGTGTTGTCTTGCGTGCCTGGAGAGCAAAGTTAGGGTCTGAGTCCCCAGAGAAGGAGCTCGCTCAGCTGTGCTCCTCACCAGGCAAACACCAAGTGCAGATTCCTCTGGGTAGAAGGTGGCACTGGGCAGTGGGCTGGCATGGTGTATGTTACCTGAGTACCATAGAGGCTGACCCCGACACTGTAATCTAAAGTGTCCAGGGTCCATGTGTTACCAGTGGATGGGGTGTGCCAGGTGTTCTTGGGTTCTTTGGGCGCAATGTTTAAGATCAGGACATGGCACTAGGTGCAGCTAAAGAAGCACAAACAGTAGGAAGACAGCAAGGAGTAGAGACATGAGGCGGGCAGTTCAGAAGAGGGCTGACTGCATTGAGATTTCCAGGGGCTGCAATTTTATTATCCAGTAGGGTGGAGTTACCAGGTGGCACTAAACTGAGGTCCTTCTCTTGTGGCTCCTCCCCAAATGGCTTGACAGCTGTGCCCTGAGTGCCCGGGTGTGGGAAGTCACACACCTCTGCTTTTGAGAAGGGGAGGGCAGAGGTCTGCACATATGATCATCTTTGCCCCTGTTGGTGTAACACCACCAGTGGGAGGTCATACAGGCGTCGTTATGCCCTCAAGGCACATTCAAGACCTTTATTTGGGGGAGTGGGCTCCATAAAGAGGATATAGGGCCATTATCTTACTGGGTTGGTCCAAGGTGTGGGCCATCTGGGGTTTTAGATTGGAATCTTGTAGCCTGGGGCATTTTCTCAGGCCTGCTTTTGTCTGTACAGCTGCCTATGCTAACACAAGGTTTAATAACCATGTGCTCATCACATGGGGCGTGTGGTGGCAGAAACACAGGCCAGGCTGACTTAGTTCCACATTTCAATAAAATTAAAGATGGCTGCCAGCACCAGTTGTCACTGTCAACACCCACAGGCAATCCACAGGAGCCAAAAGAAGGCAGATGGCATTGAGATTGAGGGTGTCCTTGGTCAGGTTGGTCCCACCCAGTGTCCTGCCTTTGGATGTGGACAGTGTGGGGCTGAGGGGAGATCCTTTCAACCAGTGTGGCTTGTAGACTGTGCATTGTATTGGGTGTAGAGGTGGGGGGACAGTGTGAGCCTAAGAGTGGCTTTTAGAAACACATGCTCCTGCTGAGCTGCCTTCATTCCTCATCAAACCCTGTTTGTGCCTCCTTAGCTCTATGAAGCCTTCACCTTCCTCAAGGGACTGGGAGCTGTGATCTTGGTCCACGCAGAAAATGGAGACTTGATAGCTCAGGTGAGTGGTGTGAGTCTCCCCTGCCCCTCACCTCAGCTTGCTTCCCCTCATAAAGTAGACTGTAAAAGGGGATTGTGGCCTTGATTTGGGAGGTGATCAGGCAGGGAAGGGCCAAGCCAAAACCAGATGTCATGTTAGACACACAGACATACTGTGTCTGCTGAGTGGCCCCTGGCAGGCCACATTGGTTCATGAATCTCAGCTTTCTCCCTGTACAATGGTGAGAATGTTAACTGCCCTGTGAACCTGCAAGGATGTGCCTGAAGGCACAGGAGGACCTGAACAAAAATGCCTTGCAGGCCTGGGGGACGCCAGGGCAGTGCACACGGAAGCTGGCAGTGCTGCAGCTCAGCCTCCAGCATTCCCTAGTCCCTTGACCTAGGGCAAGGGACTTGACCCTACAGAGGCACTGGCCCATCCAGGAGCCCCCGCCTCGCAGGGTGGTCATGAGGACTGAGTGGTCGCATGTATGTGGGGTCCTCCTCTGACACAGGAGAGGCTGTGGCCATGTAGAGTTTGTGGTTGGGATGGGACATAGCAGGTGTTGGTCGTCCTGACTGTGTGAGTTGGGAGCCAAGGAGGCTTAGTGGGAAAGAGCAGAGTCAGGTGACCAGCTAGGCTCTACTCCAGGGATTCTCCTGAGAATGTATAGCACTCACTCACTGTTAGGATGGGGTCACGGAGGAGGTGTGGAGGCCTGGGTTCAGCCCCACACCACCCTGATTCTCCTGGCTCTAAGCTCTTGGTCCCATCCTGAGTCATCTATCCTTTTTCAGAAAGGAAGTGTGTACTTCCTGCTGAGTAGTTTTCTCGGGCTGCTTCCTGCCCAGGAGAATTTTGGAGGTCCAGCTGCCACCTTGCAGTGTTTTGCTAAAGTCAACCCAAAACCTTTGTGGGCTTCTGGTGACTCTCACTGGGGCTCACTGAATTAGACAAGAGACACATACACCATAGATCTCTTCTGTGAGAGTTGAGGGCCCATCCTTCCACTTCCCGAAGCCTCCTTGTTTGATTGAGAGGAACCAGCTCAGCCTTCATCTCCTTAAAGGGCTTTGTCATGAGCGGGTCCTACCCTAAGGCACTTCCCTTGCTGTCTGAGCGCCTAACAAAAGTATGTGGGCCACACCTTTAGTTTATCACGATGGAACTGTGTGGCTAGTGGCCTGGCTGTGCTCAAAAGTCATTTCTAAATTTCCTGTCCCTTGCTGAGCAATTCCAAAGCCATCATGACCTGGTTCCTTTTCATTTGGGGTCCAGGGTGTGCTCAAAAGTCATTTCTAAATTTCCTGTCCCTTGCTGAGCAATTCCAAAGCCATCATGACCTGGTTCCTTTTCATTTGGGGTCCAGCTATCTTCTGTAACAGTTACTCTAAGCAGCAAGAAGAAACCATGTGGTACCTTCCACAATTTCCTGGGAGATCTCCTCGGCCATGTCCCCTAGATCATTAATGAGGCCACATTCTGCTTTCTGCTCATCTGCAGAGAACAGTGTTGCAAAGTTTTCAGCTACTGTGTAACAAGTCTCACCCCCTCACCCCGCCCCCGCCCCCACCAATAATAGTTGCTTCCTCTCTCCCTCCCCCATCCCGTCCCTCCCTCCCTCCTTCCCTCCTTCCCTCTCTCCCTTTCTTCCTCTCCCCCTTTTTTTGGAGGCATGGTATTTTTGAACTCAGGGTCTTGCACTTGCTAGGCAGGTGCTTTACCACCTGAGCCATGCCCCGTCCTTTTTTCTTTTTGAGATGGTATCTCATCTTTATGTTCAGGCTAGCTTGGACTGAAATCCTCCTAATTATTCAGCTTTCTGAGTAGCTGAAGTGACAGTCCCACACCACCAAGCCCAGCTTTTTATTGGTTGAGATGGGATCTTGTGAACTTTTTGCCAAGCCTGACCTTGACCTATGATCCTTTTGGTCTGCCTCCCAAGAAGTTAGGATTGACGTGAGTCACCGGGCCTGGTGAAGTCTGTATTTCTAGTCCATTCAAAGCAATTTCACGTGCTTCTTAAAATTCTTCCAGCCTCCTCTCTCTGTATGGTTCCAAAGGCAAAATTACATTTTTAGGGAACTTCTATGGTAGTGCTGCTTGTGGTACTTAAGTCTGTATTAGTTGTGTAGGGCTGTGTAAAAATTACCCAAGCACTTAGTATACATCTTAAAATAATAAATGTTTTTTATCCCATGGGTTAGGAATATAAGTGTGGCTGGGTCCTCTGGCCCAGGTCTCACAGGTGTGATGAAAGTGTCAGGGTGGTAGGCATCTCGAGGCACACCTGGGCAGCTTCTCTTCCAGCCTGTCTCAGGTGATGTTTGCAGGATTTAGTTACTTGCAAACTATCAAACTCTGGCTTCTGTTCTCTGCTGGCTGCTGGCCAGAGGCTTCCCCTGGTTCTTGTCATGTGTCCAGTGTAGGGCGGAAGCTGGAGTCTTGTAATTAAACCTCAGAAGGGACATCCCATCTCTGTTGTCACTGTCTGCTCATTAAAAGCAAGGTGCTAAGTGCATGCAGCCCACACTGAAAGGGCAGGAATTCCCCACAGGCAGGAAAACCAGGATTCTTGAGCACCATTTTAGGCTCTCTCATGTGCAGCTTCACAAGAAAGGAGCCAGACAGCAGGCTGTCTCTTACGTCTGGCCTTTCTTGCTCAGACTAGGACGTTCCAGGCACCAACAGCGTTTCCTTTTTCATCACTATCTAGAATTCCACTGCCTGGATAAGTCCTATTTTTTTCCCAATTGTGGGATGCTTGGATATTTTTGAATTTTGGACTGTTAGGTCCGTGATCGTTCTTATTCATTTTTCTCATAAACAGCTCTTCGTCTGTTAATATGTACCTAGGAGTGGTATTGCCAGGCTTCAGCTGTTTTTCACTCCCAGCAGGCGAGCATGGAGGTGGTGTAGAGCGCTGAGCCTCCTCATCACAGCTGATTTTTGCTTCTCCAGATCAAATGTGTTTGTTACTTTTGCACATCTGCTTTCCAGATTCTGAGTCTTTCTTTCTACGATATTCTTTGCGAGTTTTGTCACCTTCATAGGGTTTCAGAAGAGAATGAAAATAATGCACCAGTGAAGTCAGACCCCCCCCATGCTTGTCTTTGTTTTCTCCCAGTATGTCACCTTCCCCCATCCCTCACTCCCTTCTTCCATCCTCTCTGGTTTCCTTCCTACAGAAATAGTAACTGACATTTAAGCGATTCAGCATAGAGATTCCTTGTTATCACAAAATCTTCTGTAAATGTTTTCCAAAAGTGCTTGATAAACACCATCTTCAGTAGCTGGAATTATTCCATGGCTCACACAACCCCCCTAGCCATCAGCCCTGAAATCCTTTCCAGTTTATGTTCTTAGAATAAACTTGAGCTTAATAACCATGTGAGTTCTTTCATGCTTGGTAGAGCTCGGAGCTCATGGTACAGACGTGTGCAGGAATGGTGATGCAGAAACCAGAAGTTACAATTAGTGGTGGCACAGCTGGCCCTGGGCAATACGGGGAAAAGAAAAAAGGAAGGAAGGAAATGAAACTATTCCTGGGGTGAGAAAACCTTGGAACCACTGGATTTGAATCTGGCTAGGGGCTCAGGGAGCCAGTTCAGGGTTCTAGGATAGTGGAGGTAGTGTTTCCTGCCAGGGAGACAGATACCTGGATAAGGAAGCCATAGGAGAGAGAACGAGGCTGGCGGCCAGCTCGTGAGCTCGTCCTGTGCTCAGCTACTGTGGAGGCTTTTACCATTGCTGGCTCATCTGGGCACAGTAACTGATGCAAACAGGATGCAAGCAGGCCCCAATGCACTGAAGAGAAAACGGAGGTACAGAGATGCACCTTGCCCAAAGTTTCAGTGATGATCAGTTCTGGAGCTGGACCACATTCAGGACTGTGATTCAACATGTGTGTTATACCAAAATGCCACATTTCTCCAGAATGAGAGCCCTCTAGAGTGTCTCAGAGGTTGGGAGGGTGGTTGGTGGCCTCCGAAGCTCATTTCTTAGAATACTGTGTCTTAGTCCATTTTCTGTTGCTATAACAGAATATCTGAGGCTGGATAACTTTTAAGGAAAAGAGGTTTATTTGGGCTCACAGTTCTGGAGGTCCAAGAGCATGGTGCCAGTGTCTGCTTTGCTTCTGAAGAGGGCTGCATACTCTCTTTCTGCTTCTTCCAGCAGAAAACTGGAAGAGGAATGTGGGAGTATACAAGAAGGAGCAGATATGTGAGAGAGACTGAGGGAGGTCTCTCTACACCCAGCACTGGCAGTAACCAGTTCTTTCCATGGAGAATGAGAACTTTCTCCCCAGAGAAAAGCATTGGCCCCTTTGAGTGACCTCATCACCTCTTAAGGTCCCACCACAGACAGGAGTGGTGATGGACACCTGTAATCCCCGCCCTTGGGAGGCTAAGGCAGGAGGATTGAGAGTTCAAGACCAGCCTGGGATATATAGAGAGCGCTTGTATCAAAATAAAAAAGGAAAAACAAACAGATAAGGCCTATGATCTTGCAACGCCATTACACTGGGGACCAGTCAGCATGAATTTGAGGGAAACACTGGTTTCAAACCATATTCTCTCCTCCCCCCCCAGTCAAAACTCATGTCCTTCACACAAAACGCACTCATTCCACACACACAGCCTCCAGGTCTTCATTTTTTTTCAGCTTCAACTCAAAAGTTCAAGGCCTGACTGAGGTTCAAGGTGAACCCCTTCCAGCTGTGAGCCTGGAACAATCAGGGACAGTCTCTCTTTGCAAGACCTGATGGTGGCCTGGTAGAAGGTAGGGTTCCTACTCCAAAAGCAAGAGCAGCCGACCCAGAGCAAGTCCCAAACCTATCAGGGCAGATGTGAAATCCCAAAGTAGCAATGTCTTCATCCACTCCCACCCCCTGTGCCTGGGCACGCTGGGGCAGATTGGCCCCAAGGCATTGGGCAGCCGGGCAGGTTCTGGCACTGCTGTAGCGAGTCCCAGTGCTGGACATTCCCACCCAAGGCCCTGCTCGGCCCTGTTCTTGAGCCAGTCTCTGTGGCAGCTCTGCCCTGCGGTCGGTTTCTGCCTGGCCTGTGAGCTGCTGCAGGCGTCCTCTGAAATCTCAGTGGAGCTGCCAGACCCTGCTACTCTTGCAGTCTGCAGGCTACAGGGTCAGCACGTGTGCACGCTGCCAGCTCTCACTGCGTGTGCTCTCTGGAATAGTGGCCACTCCTGTCCCCATGGTAACCGTGGCCGGGGGTCAGGGGCAGAGGCCTGAGGCAGCCCCAGGCAGCTGGCCCCTTCAGCCCTCAAGGCTCCCAGTTCTGGAGGTTCAAAAGCATGGTGCTAGCATCTGAGTGTCTTCTGGTGGAGGCCAAGGGGAAGTGCGAGGCTGGCTCTAGGATGAACTACTCAGCAAGAGCTAATCTAGAGAGAGGGGAAGCTCAGTCCTGCAAGAAGAGCTCTCAGTGACCTCGTCACCTCTTAAAGGCCTCACCACCTCTCAGCGTGGGGGACCAAGACTCCTCATGAAGCCAGACACCAGTAGATCATGCCTGTAATCCTAGCTATTTGGGAGGCAGAGATTGGAAGGATCATGGTTTGAAGCCAGCCCAGGCAAATGGTTTTGGAGAACTCCATCTCCAAAATAACCAGAACAAAATGGGCTGGAGGTGGGGCTCAAGCGCTGGAGCACCTGCTTTGCAAGTGTGAAGCCCTGAGTTCAAAACCCAGTCCTGCCAAAACAACCCAAACAAACAAAAATAGCAAAAAAGACTTCATGAGTTTGTTGGGACAAACTATATTCGTGTCACACCACTTGCTTCCTCTCACTGATGCCAGGGAATTGAAAGTAAAGCGGTGGGCGTGGATGTGTGCGGTAGGTAGACATGGGTGGATGGGTGGTGTGGGGTAGATGTGCAGGTGCAAGATGGATGTGGGTTGCGGGGTGGTCGTGCGGGGCTGCAAAGAGGAAGGAGGAGCAGTGGCGGTAGATGGGGAGCACTGGTTTGCCCCCAGTCCATTGTTCAGCCACCCTGAAGCCTCAGCCACTGCGTCACTCTAAGCAGGGGTCATCTGTGTCTCTGACTCTCTCATTACTGTCTTGCAGGAACAAAAGCGGATCCTAGAGATGGGCATCACGGGTCCCGAGGGCCATGCTCTGAGCAGACCTGAAGAGGTAAAGACTCCCCGCTAGGGCATGACTCTGACATTGCTGAGCGCTCACTGTGATGCCCTTCCAGCTGGAACAGCCCAGTCGAGACCCCAGCTCCTTCCTGTTCCTGCTCCTCCTCCCCTGGGAGCTCTGGGAACTGCAAGTCAGTCAGAGAACCAGAAGGAGGCCCTGCCTTTCCCAGGGTCCAGGGACTCCACACCAAGGCCCTGTGCACACTTCATTGTGCAAACTGGATAGGATTCTGCACTGCGGGCTTTGTGTGTTAGGTGCCAGGAAACAGCCACCCTGCCTACCATGCTCCCAAATGGAAAATGAATGCATTTCCCCTGGGGCGGCAGCATGCGTGCGTGTGTGTGAAGGGAGAAGGCCGGATTGGGCAGAGAACAGAATGAGCACCGTAGCTCCTGTCCCTTGAATTGACAAGTGTCCTGATGTCCTCATCAAATCTGCTGGGCCTCTGACTCTGTGCTGGGCACTGCTGTCACAGGAATAGGGTGATGGCCATGAGCTGTTTGTTGCTGACCCATAGAGAGGTCAGGAAGGACTGGGGACTGCATTTGCCAGCTTTTCTAGCAATTGGATGTGGCTGTCACATCAGGGTGTGTGACCAATGGCTTCACCTGGAGACCCTTCTGGTCTCATCAGACTTGCATAGTTGGGCCGTCCCAGGAACACTACCAGGATGTAAATTGAAAACAAAAACCACAAGCTAGTTCTTTTGCTCACTGGTCTTCTGAACATGGCTGGCCTACAGAGGCGGAGATGACACAAAACACAGGTAGTTTCCTGGTTCACTCATCGACCGATGAGGGAATGGTGGTCTAGTGGGCCAGACTCACGTTGGGCGTGGACTCACATCGGCCATTTCCACACCACAGACCATTGACTGTGCCTTTGGATGCTGTATTCTGCCTTTCGTGCCCCTGGGGGATGGAGCCTTCTGACAGCATGCAGAATACTTCTGTCTCCCAGCCCACGAACAAAATTCATTTGATGTCTTTTAAAATCTACAGTATTTTCTTTCTTTGATATGGTAGATTTCTTTCTGGGCAACATTTAATTAAGAAAGTCGGAGGACAATGATCATGGCGTGACTTGGGCACTGGGGGTGGGCGGCGGCCATGCCCTCACCTCTCCTTCCTGTGACTCTTGTGCTCCCTGTGTTCTCAGCTGGAGGCTGAAGCCGTGTTCCGGGCCATCACCATCGCGGGCCGGATCAACTGTCCTGTGTACATCACCAAGGTCATGAGCAAGGGCGCAGCGGACATCATCACCCTGGCCAGGAAGAAGGGTAGGCAGTGGTGCTGGGCCTCCTGGGGGGCACCTGGTTCACTCCCAAGGCCACTGCCCAGGGCAAAGGTCTGCTAGTAGCCACAGCCCAAGGCCTGGCATCCTGTGTGGTGTGGGGTCAGAGCACAGTGCAGGGAATCCGTTTTTGGGTTGATTCTTGGTTGTGCTCTGTGCCGGCTGTGTGACCTTGGGTAAAAAGTCCTTGGTCTGCTCTGAGCCTTGGCTTGCTCGTTTGTGGCTGGGGTGAGGGTCCCCGCCTGGTGGGGGCAATTGAGACCATGTAGTCTATGGCTGTCACCTTGGCCTCTTCCTGGTGGCAAGCTGACGATGACCTGCAGGCCTGGAAGCCCTCTTTCTGCCTCACTGCTGGGCTCACCCTGGGGTTGGTGCTCCTGGGCCACCATGCTTGGGGTCCACTGTGGAGCCTGCAGGAAGAGTGTCAGCTGCAGGTTGGCAAGGAGGAAGGTGTTTTCCTAGTCAGGGGTCTGGGGACAGTGTGGCTGGGGGGGGGTGTGTGTGCTAGTCTGCATTAGCTGCCCAGCTGCAGGACGTGAACCACTCCTTCACCTTTGTGACCCTCTGGCTCCTCCTCTCTTAATGACCCGGACAGCTGATGTGCGTCAAGCCTCGGCTGCATTCTGGGCATATCTAAGTGTTGAGTGGGCGTGGGTTAGCGTTTTCTCAGCTGCAGCCCATCATTCATTCCTTGCCTCTGCATCCTCCTCCCTCCATGGGGGCTCGAGGTCGCGCCTACTGGCTGACCATAGGACCATAGACAAAGGCCATAGCTCAAGCAGCGGGGGCATGCTAGATGGAACCTCACAGGGCTCAGGGCCTCTTGTCAGGACTCAAGAGGGGCCCAGTGTGGCCCCCAGCCTTGACAGTGAAGTCTGTAGTGCTCACCAGCCCCAGACCCAGAATGGAGAAGGAATTTCTGTTGCTAGAACAGAATACCTGAGGCTCAGTAATTTGTAAAGAAAATTGGTTTATGTAGCTCACAGTTTTAGAGGCTGAAAGTATGAGATTGAGTGGCCCTATTTCATCAGCCTCGGGTAACCCACCCGTTCCAAAAATCATGTCGTAACATGGTGGATAGCACACAATGGCAGGAGCCCACTCAGGCTTGTGTGGTGAGACAGGAAGTCAGAGCAAGCCGAGGGAGCCAAATCCACTCCTGTAACCAGTCCAGTCCCAGGAGACCTGATCCAGTGGCCAGAAAGCCCAGTCTCTCCTAAGAACACTGATCCATTCATAGGGCAGGTCCCCTGTGACCCCAAACACCTCTTAAAGGTCTCAGACTTCAGTTCTGTTACTTTGGGAAATTGAGGTTTGGGGGCAAGGGGACAGACCACATTGGAACCATAGCAGATGTCCCGAGCAACTTCTGAGAGAGAGGGAGGGAGGGCGGAGGTAAGGAGGGAGAAAGAGAGAGAGACAGAGACAGAGAGACCCGTTCACTCTGTTGTGATGACGTGACGCTGACAGAGAACCATGGTCCTGCAGATGGCCTAGGAGAAATGTGTAGCAATGCAGTAGCTGTTTTGTTTTCTGGGCAGCACCACACTGTTCACTGTGCTCGTGGGAACCCTGAATGGGGAACATAGCCTCCTTTGTGTACTACCACTGATGAAGGTGTTTAACCTAGCGTATCTGAAACATTTCAACCTGTTATCAGTAGAAGAATCACCAGGGAGATATTTTGGTGGCTTTTCTGTCCTGTCTCCAACCCCTGCATGGGTTTCACACTTACTGTGCACCTCAATTCATAGAAGCCACAGCCTCAAGTCCTCAGTGGCCACCTGTGACTTTATTAGGTCAACTTTGGGGCCCCAAGCCCTTCTTGTAGTGTTCTGGGAAGGTGAGCTGACAAGTGGAGATGAATACCCAGCTTGCCTGGGTTCACCCCATTTTAAAGATGAGGACACTGAAACTCATAAAGGTGACAGAAAGTGGGAGCAGCAGGGTGAGGGTTATGGAGCCAGGAGGTGGCCACTGGCCACTTGGGGCTGCTTACATTTAAATTAAGTAAAGTCAATCGGATCTGAAAGTGGCTTTCTCAGTGGCACCAGCCATGTTTCAGTCAGCGGCTGCTAGGTTGCATGTGGCGGGAACAGTGTGTCTGGTCACTGCCAGCAGTGGCACTGGACAGAGCTGCCCTAGAGCTGCACTGCTGAAGTTTGAGGCTGGTCTCCCTCTTGGCAGCAGGGAGGCTCTGAGCAGACCAGCAGGGGCTGTTGGCCCATGTCTTCCTGTCCTTTGTCCCTGCCTGCAAGATTCCCACAGGGAAGTCCGGCAGGTCACTTGTGCTGTGTTGGCAGAAGCTCACTGGCCCACTCCTTAGGGCAAACTGGGCCTTCCAGAAGGCCAATGCAGTGGGCTGGTGGACACGCACCCCAGTGCCCTCCAGGGATGTATCTGAAGCCGTCCCAATGCCTCCCACTGCTCCCCAGTTGGATGTCAGGACCCTTAGCTGTGATCCGACAACAAATCCACCTTTACTGGTTTCTCATCTTCCCTTATGTCACTTCCTCCGTTCCCAGCCAGTGTTCCTGGAATCACCTCCCACATAAAACATGAGCTAGAGTCCTTGTGGGAGGAGCCACTCTGGCAGAGTCCAGACTCAGCAAATGGCCTCTTGGCCTCGGATGGAAAGTCCCCAAAGGATGACATTACTAATGTCCACCTGGCCGAGGTGGGAGTTCACAGTCAAGGTCACCACAGTGTGTGTCATGTGCCTGAGAGAGGGATGGCTAGTGGTTGGCTCTCAGCCAGTCTGGTCCCCCACCTCAGACCCTGGTTTTGTCACCAGCCTCTCCTTCGGACACCGTTGGTTATAACTATATTTGTCTGTCTCCCCAAGGTCCCCTCGTTTTCGGCGAGCCCATTGCTGCCAGCCTGGGGACGGATGGCACCCACTACTGGAGCAAGAACTGGGCCAAGGCAGCAGCATTTGTGACCTCCCCTCCCCTGAGCCCGGACCCCACCACCCCCGACTATCTGACCTCCCTGCTGGCCTGGTGAGAGTCATGGAGAGTGGATGGTTGGACCCACGGCTGGGTTAGACTCACTGGGGTACCGGGGTCCCCTGAGTACAGTGCTGCATGTTGTTGACAGTGGGCCTCCTGGGCCTGTGACTCTTTTACCCAATGACTGTCCCCTCACATCTACTGTCACCTCCTGCTGTTTGTGCTGCTACTGTGCTCCACACAGTAGGGTGTGGTAGGAAGTACCCAGGACCAGGGGTGAGAGCCAGCATTCAAACCCTTGCTCAGCCTCTAGCACTGTCACCTTGGGTGTGTCACAGCACCTGTGAGGTGTCCCTGTCTCACTCAGCTTACTCCCTGGCAAAATAGAGGGAAAATAGTCCCTGCTGTTACAGAACTAGCTATGAAGCCCATGATGTATGGTTCCAGCAGCAGCTGCTGTGGTGTGTACACAGATTAAGGGTGCAGCCACCTCAGTCCCCTCCCTCCTGGTAGTGAGCATGGGGGTGGAAGTCTTTGCAGCAGCGAGGCCACAAGAGGCTGGCAGGTGCGGGCTGCAGGCTGCTCTGGGAATGGAGGCATGGAGACTAGGGGAGGCTCGTGGAGGAGGTGAGTGAGGGCTGGACTCAGATGAGTAGGAGTTCGCCCCATGTGAAGGATCGGACTCGGTTTCTCAGCAGAAGGAACCACGTGTGAGGCAAGGAGGGCTGGGATGCGTCCCCATGTGGGAATCTGTCACAAATGACACAGAAATCCCTGGCTGCGCACAGTGGCTCACTCGGCATCTCTAGCTCAAGACCTGGTGGTGACTCACTCTCCTAAACCCATGAAGAACTCCTGATCTCTCCCCATGAGGCTGCTGCCCCCTGTTCTCGCCCAGCTCAGGAAAAGGCAGGAACAGGATGAAGGCCTTGGGATCTGACACCATCACCTCCCTTGCTGCAGCTGCTTGGCTCCAGTTGCCAGCTTCTGACCTCCTCATCGGCCTTTCTGCTTCCCTACACATATCACAGTCTGCTCCAGCTGGTGCCTAGGTGTTTCAAGACCTAAGTCAGACAAAGCCAGCCCTCCAGGATAGTCCAGCGATGATTGAGTTTCAGGCAGTACGGGGGTTTGAACACCTCTATTTGTGCTTCCCACTTAGCTGGGATAACAGACACACACTACTGCACCAGCCATTCGTTGAGATGGGGGTCTTGAGAAATTTTTTCTCAGGCCTCAAACCATGATCCTCCTAATTTCCACCACCTGAGTATCTGGGACTACAGACATGAGCCACCACACCCGGCCCAGTCCATTGATTTCTCCTTATAAATGAGAACATGATCTGGTCTTCACTGCAGACCAGCCTCACCTGGCCTCCTCTCCTTTGCTCCCTCGGTCTAGCCCACTGGTTTAGGGCTGACTCTGAACCCCAGGCAGGATTGTGCCTCAAGGCCTTTGCACTCACTGTGCCCCTGCCTAGCACTCTCTCAGAGGTTACATGGTCTGCTTCTTTACTACCTTCAGGTCTTTGTTGGAAGGTTTTTTCTGAGCGAGGCATTTTCTGATCACCCCATTTAAAATGGCCATCCCAGCTGTCCTCCTCCTCCTCCATCTGCTCTGTTCTCCTCCCCAACAGTCGTTCCAACAATGTGCCACCATTGTCTTGTTCACATCTGCTGATTTCCTGACTCACTGTCCCTCACTCGAGTTCCCCTGAGGTGCACAGGGACCTTGGCTTCTGTTCTCACTCATGCCAGGCACATTGAGAGCACAGCGTGGTTTTGCTGATGAAATGGGTACACGTGACTTCCAAATGGATGGCTGTACCTCTAGAGGATTGTTGGTGTGTCCCCAGCCTCTGAAGTGCAGGCTAGCCTCGGCCTGCGCTGTGTAATGGCCCACATGTCCACTGGCTCAGGTGTCCTGCTCAGGGCTCCTGGTACATCAGAAGTATATTTGCTTTCAAAGCCCCAAGGGGATAGAAGACAAACCCAGTGAACTGTGTCACTGGCTGTCACCAGCAGAGAGCATTTTGTTCTGTAAGCTCAGCACAAAAGCACCAGTGCTGGTTGCCAGCAGTCTCACATTGAGAGACAGACGTCAGCACACCAGACTCTCCTTGTGACAGGCAGAGACATGAATGAACTTGTGAGAATGAAGGCATGTGCCAGCAGGCTTTGATCTCACTAACTGGTTTCTGCATTTATTCATTCGTTTATTCACTTACTGACTTCATAACTTTTTTCTTTAAAAAAATGGAGCTACAACTCACATCAAATGCATCATTCACAACCCACCCCCAAAGCTGCCTGGGGTTTGAGGTTCCACAGCCTATGCTGGGTGACCAAAGTCAGGGTTTGCCATTCAACATGCATGCAGGTCTGAGCCCACCTTGTTTTTGTCCTTGACAGTGGAGACCTGCAGGTCACAGGCAGTGGCCACTGTCCCTACAGCACTTCCCAGAAGGCAGTGGGCAAGGACAACTTCACCCTGATCCCTGAGGGAGTCAATGGAATAGAGGAGCGAATGACCGTCGTCTGGGACAAGGCGGTGGTAAAGCATCTCCCGCCTCCCTCCTGGAGTAGTCCAGAGACACCTGCCTGGCCCGTCGAGCCCAGTGTGTTCTGTACTCGGGGTTCTTAAGTCTTCTTGTCCTCCCTGGAGGGAGAGAAGGGCACAGGAGGAGATGGGGCTCGGGAGAAGGTAGCCCAAGGCTTGCAGAACCCTCTGCACCTGCAGACATCACAGTTTTTGACACATTGGGTTGGAAGGTGTGAACATTTCAGTTCCTGTAAAGATGGCTCTGTGAGCTCCAAGTGTGTGTGTACATGTGTGTTTGGAGCCGAGGTGTTGAGTGGGTTTACAGAGTTCCTCTTTCAAAGGGTGCCTCAGGTCACTCTGTGACCACTGACTTGAAACTGGAGATTTTTACTTTCTGTGAAACTTGAGCCCAGTGACCCTTACAAGCTGTCACAGTGGCTGTTGTACAAAGAGCAGCAGACCTGCAGTTCCTTTAACTCCTGCTGTGATGGGACCAGGCCCTGTACTCTTGGAGGGTGGCTCATTTTCATGCTGTGGGAGGAGAGAATGCTAAGCCCCCGTGTGAGGACCCCGCTGCCCTTTCTCCCAGCCCACTGGGGACACTGGCTCACCCATGCCTCTTGCCTTTAGGCTACTGGCAAAATGGATGAGAACCAGTTTGTGGCCGTCACCAGCACCAATGCGGCCAAAATCTTCAACCTGTACCCAAGGAAAGGGCGGATTGCCGTGGGCTCAGATGCTGATGTTGTCATCTGGGACCCTGACAAGATGAAAACCATCACAGCTAAAAGTCACAAGTCGGTAAGTCCTGGCTTGTCCACAATGCTCGTGATGTAGGCAAATGCTTTTCCCTTTGCACTCATTTTAGAAGCCTGTGGTTAAAATGAGTTACAGATTTTCCAAATCTGCTGTCTAGCCTGAGTCAGCCATTCATGCTTCTGCAATTGGAGCGATTCAGAGCAGCTGCTCCTTTGATCCTGGTGCCTCCCCTCTGTGTTTCCCTATCTCCATCTCTCTGGCTCCTGCCCACCAATGCCTGTATTCTCTGACATTGCTCATGTCAGAAGAGTACCATGGGAGTACTAAGTCCAAAACCTTTCTCCAGCCTAGCTGTCACACTGGAAAGGGTCTGTTCTGGTGTAGAAACCTCCAGCTTGGTTTTGAGGCCTGTTATTACCAACCAGACTGGGAAGGGCCACCCGAAGGTGCACTGTGTCTGAGCCCATATTCTGTGTACACCTCATGCCGTGATGACTTGGGTCATCTCTGCTTTGTGTTTCTGGGTCCTCAATTTCTCTGCTCATCCAGCAAGCCACTAGGGGTGCAGAGATGGTATAAGACACCCTTGGGGTTTGCTGTGATACCCACTCTTCATGAACCATCAAGGTCTCAGGTCCAGAGGCCCTGACCTGGTCCTGGGCTCACTGGAGTCTGCTAAGGGTACAGGCTGTGTGTGCACATGGCTCTGGACCTGCCATGGTCCTTACTGTCCTCATCTCAAAAAAACCCAAAAAAACAAAAAACAAAAAACTACAAACAATAATTTTGAAAGGGAAGCAAGGCACAAAACTTAGACTCCATACAGATTGGTCTACCTGACCATTGACTACATGAAAATTAAGCAAAATAACCTTCCACGTGGTCCACAGATTACTTTATGAAATGAAAAAGACAGACCACCAGGGAAGTATTTCCCAGCCCCACGACACAGGGGAAACTGTCATGAGTGAGTGCTTGGAAACGGGTGAGGAAGACACCAGACCTGATGGGAGCCGTGTGGACGTGGTCACTCAGTAACAAGTGCACAGACTGTGTACAATGTATGCTGATTCAAATGTGCCCAGCCTCACTGAGCGGTGCAGATAACGGCCATGAGATACAACAGAGTCCAGGAGTGTAGTGCACGTGGGTCCTGTAAGCAGCGGCCATCAGACGGGGGCAGGCAGGCAAGCTGGACACGTGGACTTTTGCTGGTGATGAAATTGAGTGTCACAGCTTTTGGAGGACAGATCTGTTACCTTTGGCTCCAAACTGCACATTGCGAGTGCAGACCGTGCTCAGGGTATGTCTTAGCGTTTTAGCAAAAGTGTAGAAATGCCCCATTTGTTCATCTTGGCCACTGGGCAAAGCTGTGATGGTCCAGTGTGTGATGGAATATGGTGTAAGGGTTTACAAAATGAATGCTAAAAACATTTTCAACCATGTCCACACCTGTGCTGATGGAGCACGGTCTCTGGGATGGGAGAAAAGTCAAGTCACACGTGGTCCTTAGAGGGCGTCTGCGCGTGTGCGAGTGGCTTCAGCACGTATGGGAAATACGTGGGTGAGCAGGAGGTGCTCTTTAAGGCTCTTGCTTCAGTCAAAGGTAGAAGGGATTCTTTTGGTTTTTCTTACTGAGTAACTTTTGTACCAGGTGATTTTCTCTCAACCACACACCTGGGTTATTTTTTTAAGTAACAGATGAAAAGCAGTTGGCTATCCATAGTTACCAAACAGGAAGGAGAGTCCACCTCAGAAGAAGTGAGTGGTGTGCGAGTTTTCAAGGAAATGTTCTGTTGTCCCTCACACTAACAACAGCCGTGACAGCAGGTGACATTGCTCTATGCTGGAGGTGTGGATGAGCGTTAAATGTGTCTCCCTTGTTGCCAGGGAAGATGGACTGGCCTGAGCCCTCGGGAGCGTAACTCAGCACTGTGTCACGAGTGTTTTAATGAGGACTGTATTTAATTGCAGAGAGCTGTCCTCCCCCCCAAACAGAAAAAAGACACAGGAATGCCCATGGGAGCACCATTCCCTATGCCCTGACAATATTAAGTTGATCTGTAAAGCCTCCAGCAACGTCAGTAGCTCGCAAAGAGGTCTTCCTCATGCACGGCACACAGTGGAATATTACCCAGCCCTTCCAAAGGTGCTTTCAGTGAAGGAAAAAACACTGGGAACTGCTTGTGGTGTAGCAGGCCAAAGCACTGTTAGGGACAGCGTGCAGAGGCCAACCGTGGAGTCGTGATTGAAGTACAGCTGCGCTTCTGCACACACAGGCTGTGGAGTACAACATCTTCGAAGGCATGGAGTGCCACGGCTCCCCGCTGGTGGTCATCAGCCAGGGCAAGATCGTCTTCGAGGACGGATGCATCAACGTCAGCAAGGGTGTGGGCCGCCTCATCCCACGGAAGCCGTTCCCTGAGTACCTCTACCAGCGCGTCAAAATCCGGAACAAGGTGGGTGGGCTTGCCTGCGACCCTCTGCTGGTCAGAGTGACACCCTTTCTTGGGGAGCCGGGGTCCGTTTGGTGCAGAGCTGATGGGCCACGGCCACACGTGCGTCCGTCTCTCTCTCTCCATCTGCCCAGCGGCTTCCGTCTCAGGACAGAAATGGCTGCCTTCCCCTGTTGTGCCATCCTATTCTGTGACAGCCCGCCTCCACAGGAGCCAGCCCGTGCTGGTGGGGTGTGCCAGAAGGCCAGCTGTGTGCACGAGCGTCCACTCTGTGTACTTTGCACGCACTCGTGTCCACTGTGTGTGTTGTGCCTAGATGTGCTTATGCGTGTGCACATGCGCGCGTGTTGGGGGTGTGGGTGAGTGTATATGCTCATGCACGGGTGTGTGTTGTGTGTGCTGGGTGCGTGTTAGGGTGTGTGCACATGCGTGTGTGTGTGCGTTTGGGGTGTGTACATGAGTGTGTATTCAGGGGGTGTGTGTGTGTGTGTTCAGGGTGTGTACGTGTGTGTGTTCACACTCTTCTTGTGCTTCAATGGTGTCACAACCACTGATTTAGACAGATAAGTCCCAACGCCTCCCTGCATCTGCCACCAGGGCAGCACCAGGTGACACCCAGGGCAGCACTGTGCCTTAGCTGGAAAATGGGCACAGAGATAAGCAGGTCGGGTCTGACTTGTGGCCTGATATGACGAGGTGTGGAGCGGATGGGGACTCAGGTAACTGGCTGGGATGCCCACCCACAAGGGCAGCAGCACCCTTTGGCAGGTTTCACTCCCCCACCCCACCCAGGTCGGTCTGAGCCCAAGGCTGGCACTGAACAGTCTGCCTTGGTAAGAGCAGGTGTCTGAGCTCACCTTGAGGGGGAGGGAGAGTGGGAGGGGGAGGGGGTCCCTCCTGCGTCCTCTGCAGGCCAGGTTGGGGAGGGGCCTGCACAGTCTTGCCTCTGGGCAACCTGAGCTTGAGGGCGGTGACTGGAGACTTGGGCCAGAAACAGGGCGGGTGCTGGGAGGGGTACAGAATACACAGGGCACAGGCCCTGGGAGTCAAGGAGCAGGGCTGCAGGACTGGCAGGGGGGCCAACGACGTGCACAAGTGCTGGGTCTTGGCACCTGCTGTGGGTGCGAGATGGGGTCAGGACACTCTCACCTGCTACAGAGGAGGTAGAAGGTACCAGGGCTGGGCTGAGGTCTCTGTCGCCTGCTATAGAGGAGGTGGTGGGAGCCGGTGCTGGGGTCAGGACTGTCATCCCTGTCCCTCACCTGCAGTAGACTCTGCCCAGTTCCTTGGACCTGCTGCTTTTAGACCTGGAGCCCATGCCCACCTCCCCTTGTCCACGCGGGGACTCTCTGGGCTGTTGCATGTGTTTCTGGCAGGTGCACAGCCTCCCGTTACGATCATGTGACTCCCAGCTTCTCACTCCGGGCATTTTCTCTTTGCTGGGCAGCTCCTGCCAGAGTGATGCAAGAGGCCTCCACCCAGGCCTGGCCTGCTCAGTATCCCTCCTGTCTTGACTCCCTGCTCCTACCCCCTTTCCAGAAGAAGCTGCATGCCCCAAATCCTTGTCTTACATCTGGCTTCCGTTGGACCATAGAAGGGGGGAGCTAGGGGAGTGCCAGGGAAGGTGGCTGCCTCTTGGGAGTGGACTCGGGATCCCTTGCATGCGGCTCCTGTGTGTATGTGTGTGTAGAAATGTGTATATCTTATGAGTGTGTGTCAGTGTGTGGGTGCATATCTGTGTGCACAAGTGCTTACGTGTGTGGCGTGGGGGGAGCATGTGTGGACATGCATTTGTGTGTGCATGAATGCTGGGTGATGTGTGAGGTCCCTCTCTTATCCCCAGGACTCCTCCTGGTCTGAGCAGAAGGCTCGCCCATGCTCACACACACATGCACACACATAGTGCCAACCTATCCCCTCCTTCCTCTGTTTAGGTTTCCGGATTGCAGGGGGTTTCCAGGGGCATGTATGATGGTCCTGTGTATGAGGTGCCAGCTACACCAAAATATGCAACTCCTGCTCCTTCTGCCAAATCCTCGCCTTCCAAACACCAGCCCCCGCCCATCAGGAACCTCCACCAGTCCAACTTCAGCTTATCAGGTAGGCATGGCACCCCCTGCCCACCCTACCCCCACCCCGGCTCTTCAGGGCCCTTCCTGCTCCCGTGGAAAGGGGCTTACAGACTGAGTCACATGACGAGAAGTGCGGAGGCCTGGGGACCCGTCCATCTGCAGGGGGCAGAGAGGGTGGGAGGGAGGTCACCAAACAAGGGTCCTCGGGGGACCTTGGTTTGTGGAGCTTGCACCAAAACTGGCCCCATACCTCAGCTTAGGGATGTCTTTGTGGAGCACAGAGGTGCGCATGAGGCAGGCGCCAGTGCCCACTCTGGGCACACGCTCTGCCCGTCATCACACGTGGTGGCCCCTGTGGCTTATGAAGTGCTTTCATCACCTGACAGCCACCCTGTGTACGCAGTGGTGTTATCCCTATTGTTGTAGAGAGGAAGCTGAGGCCCCACAAAATTCAGTTCAAAAGTACCAGGACTTGGTGCTCAACGAATGCACCCGTGAAGCTCTTAAGGCACGTGCCTGCAACTTCTTCATGTGGCCACACGGGGACAGGCACGTGCACGTCGAGGAGCATTGAGTTGCGTTTTACTTACCGCCCCTTGGATGCCTGTGCTGGGTACAGAGAAAACGGTGACGAGTGACACATTGCTGGACAGCCACAGGCTTGTCCTGGAGTCAGCAAAATTTTCTCAAGTGCCAGATAATCAACATTCTAGTCTTTGTGAGCCACAGGGCAAAATGTAGGATGCTACATTAACTAGCCTTTTAAAATGCACCCGTTTAAAAAAAAGTGAAAATTACTCTTGGTTCATGAAGTATATAAAAACTAGCAATGGGCTGAATTTAGTCAGTGGGCTATAGTTTGCCAATTCCTGTCAGAAGAGGAATGGAGAGAGTGGAAGGGGAAGAGAGAGAGAGAGAGAGAGACAGGGAGGGAGGGATCTGTCTCTGCCACAGTGTAGTGGGTGCCTGAGCCGGGGTCCCCAGGCCATCTTACTCGCACAAGCCTTTCCTGGAAGAGCTGTGTCACATTCAGTGTAATTCCTGTGTTCAGAGATAACTAATGTCATCGCACAAATGGACCCTAAACGCAGGAACCCAAGTGTGTCAGCTGTGGGCTTAGTTCACAAAACAGGCTGGGTTCAATGCTGAGAAGAGCCACCAGGGAGCAGTATGGCCCCTCAGGCATTTGCAGGGTGGTGTTCTGTTCTCAAGTCAGAACACTGCAGAAGGACAAGTAGACATGGTCCCATTAGACCAAGGGGAACAATGGGACGACAGGCCCGTTTTCTCCAGTTGAGCTCTATAAGCTCACAGTGCTGCCCTCGGCCAGGGTCACAGCAGTCTGCCAGGTGGCTGTGCTCACTATCAACTGCAGAGACACTTCCCCTGTCAGTAGCAACTTCACAGATGTCTCATGCTGCAACTCAGAGATGTAGCATGACTTGTTAGGGACCTTTTGTCCCACAGGCACTTTCAGAGTCCAGACATGCAACCAGTGAAGTCTAGACTGTTAGGAGAGGAGAGGGCATTGAAGGGCTTGATTCCTGAGTTACCAGGAAGACAGATGTCTACCAGCAAAACAAAATCAGTACTCCAGACAAGGTTCTTGGTGGCTCACATAGACAAGTCATGTAATATTGGAGTCAGAGGGCCTCCACTGGTCTCCTGATCTTATTTTTCAGAAAAGGAAATGAGGCCAAGGAGATGGGTGATACCTTACTCCAAATTACCCAAGGTCAAGGCATGATTTTTACTAAGATCTGGTCTCCTGGAGACCCTTAGGGCCTCCTCCTTCACGACGTCTCACCACCAGCATTATCCATACTTTGAATTCTCCCACTTAACAAATATTCAGTGAGTGCCAGGCACTGGGTTTGGTGCTGGAATTTTAAATCTATTTAAGAGAATGCAAAAGGTTAGAATGAATGGTTGCCTTTGAAGATACAAAGCAAGAATACTGCTCCACCTCCCGTGCAGATCTGACCATTGCAAGTGATGGGAGTAAACCTGGCTCTGAGTGGTCCACAAACACATGCACTCATGCATGCACATGCACGTGTCGGTCCATAAAATACTGATGGAGAGTGAGTCACTGTGCACAGGAGTGCGGGCTTTGCAGACAAGCCTGTTTGGGCTGGAATTCTGGCTTCCCTGCCCAATAGCTGTGTCCCCCAAAATGTACAGCCTGAGTTTCAGATTCCTCATCTGTAAATTGTGGGCAAAACACAATGCCCACCATAGAGCATTGTGTGCTCCAAGCACAGTGACATATACTAAAATACCAAGTCTGCCGTACACAGTAGGCATGCACTATTTGCTCACCTCTCAAGAATATCAGACTGTACTGGGCTCAGGGCTGTGGGAGGGTGACAGGGACTGAGGGACACAGAGGAGAGGGCAGTGAGCTCTGGAGGATCAGGGAGGCTTCCTACATGAGGCTGGACTAAGCCTTGAGGTAGAATAAGAAGTGCTTCAAGACGGGGCACAGAATCTGCCCAGGCACGGCCCACGGCCTTCAGGATCAGCAAGTCGAGCTGGAGTTAGCAGGTCTCATCCAGAAATGATCGCCGTCTGTCTCTTTCAGGTGCCCAGATAGATGACAACAACCCCAGGCGTACCGGCCACCGCATTGTGGCGCCCCCTGGTGGCCGCTCCAACATCACCAGCCTCGGTTGACCCTGGGTGAAGAGAGATGCGCTAGAGTGAAGGATTCTGGGAATATTGTCCATTCCTTTTCCTGTCTGTGTTTTTGAAACCCACAGTTTTAGTTGGTACCGATGGGGGGACATTGAGTGATGTTCTTTCCTTTCCTGTTTAGAAAGAAGTGGTATAGTGTGGTGTGTTTGCTTGGAAATTCCTCGCCCACCGTGTGTTCACGCCGAACCCGCCTCAGAGCATGGTGTCCTCATAGCCCCTCCCTAGTGAACCATGGATTTAGCAGCGTCTTGTACTGTCCCCTCCGCCTCCGACTCCAGTGGCTCCATGATTCTCGAGTGGCGGTTCCTTTGCACCCGTAGCTGTTTAGATAGGATGCATGTTCCCAAGTTCCGTGTGCAAGTCTGAGCGTGTGTGATGGACACCGCCAAGGACAGACGGACCTAGATCCAATGTCAAGACCTCAAGCCCCCAGGGCGATTCCAAAACTCTTAAACAAAGCTGTTTCCTCATTGCCCCCACCGCCAGTCTTTGCGAGAAGAGGTCCTCCCCGCCCCGCCCTCTGCGATCTGTGAGTGTGCCGAATGGTAGGGAAGCGCCATCCATGTCCCGTCAGGCACCCGGTCTGCGTGGCACTCGGCACGACGTCTTTCCGGTCTGTGTGTTCTTCCAGCCAGCTCTGGGCTTCTGGCTGAGCCAGGCTCACACCCAGATAGGGGTCTCCTCCCATCCCCCGTTCAGGGATGAGGGCAGTGGGGTGACGGCTGCTCCCAGGGTCGCCTGAGTCCTGGTCCCTCTGAAGAGGTTGATGGGGGCAGTCAGATTTTTAAAGTTTTGTACAGTTTTCCTTTGTAATCACCGCCATTTTTACTTAATAACTGACTTGTTTGTGGCTCTTATTTCTGAATTCAAAGCTTGTGAAAAAATAAAGAAAATGAACTGTGCAACTGACTCAACCATGGTGTTTTCATTCGGGGTGAATCAAATGCCTGGCAGTGCCCCCACCCTGTGACAGCTGAGCAGTGGGGCCACTTCCTGGGGACTCACTGTTGTGGATCTGGGGGAGGCAGAGGCAGGAAGGACAACCAGCTTGTGACCTTGGGAAGGTTGGATCCAAACCCTGAGAACTATGAATGGGAAGATGGAGGATGGCTGGACAGTGGGCTTCGAGAGAGGCCAGCATTGAGTGTCCACCCCCTGCTCCGCCGTCCTTGACTCTGTTGCACAGGTCTGCCTCAGCAGAAAAGGTCATCTGCATTCACACTTCTTCCCGCCATTTCTGTGAGCCATGCACGGCATAAGGAGCAAAAACTCAGGCAAGGTTGCTTGTGTGGTAGCTGTTTGTAGCAGTGATGGTACTGATGGCCCAGGCAACACCTGTACCACACCTGCTGTAAGCCAGGTCGTCCATGAGGCAGAGAACGTCATTGTCCTGATGTACTAGTCCATTTTTCATTACTATACCATAATATCTGAGGGAGGCTACTTTATAAACAAAAAGGTTTACTTTGCCTCCTGGTTCCGGAGGTGTAAAGTCTATAGGTCTATATGACATTAAGCATTTGTGTGTTTCCTGCCTCTTCTTACAAAGCCACCAGGATTGAATCAGGGGACTGTCCTTGTGACCACCCCTAATCCTACTCACCTCCCAGCGACCTGCCTCTAACCCCATAGTTGGATTCAGTTTCTGCCTTCTTCTCACCTCACAATGGCGATTAAATTCCACACGCGAAGTGTTGGGGACACTCAAACCCCATTTAACAGCCGAGGAAACTGAGTCACAGGTCAACAGCTTGACTAAGATCACGCAGTGTCAGAACTAGGATCTGAATCCAGGACCGAGGCAGTGTGGCTCAAAGTCCAGGGGTCCTTGCTCCTCACTACTGAGCTTCAGAGTCCCTGGAGACAGAAAGCTGTGGACGGTCCAGCATCCACCCGATGATTTCTGTGTGCTCTTCCCCTCCCCACCCCCCAGCTTGGTTAAGGAGGACATCTTGGCTAGGATCCAAGGATGAGCTGACTCGGGGTCAGTTGCAGCCTGTCTTGAAACAAGACCAAATACTGAAAGGTCAGGCATGGTGGCAAGAATTGTTTACATCTGAACTATGGACGGCAACACAGGACGCATCCAAAGAGTAAGGCTGCAGCACAGTCATGCATCCTGCGCTCCGGGCCTGGCCCCTTAGGCCTGTGGGGGCGAAAGTGGCAGCAGAAGGAGCTCTGTCTCTTTCCTAAGGCAGACCTTGGGGCCATCGCCTGACTCTCAAGTGATGCCCAGTCAGCATCACTAGTCCCTCGGCCAGCACTCTCAAGAGGCCAGAGTTTTCAGAGGTGAGTGACAAGTCAACTTTTTGAAGGCACAGGATTTTCTTTCATCTCCTGAGCTTGGAGGAGGCCATTTCTCTGAAAGCTTTAGGGAAGACGACATCCTCATTCCCCAAACCCACACCCTCAGGCTCCTCTTGCTGGTGTCAGGACACTTGCAGGCTCCTGGGACCAGTATGCAGCCCCCTGGCAGTGCTGGGGGCACCATTGTGCTTACTAAGGCCATCTGTTTCCTTCTTGAAGTTTCTTTCCATGTAGGTAACAATGGAAGGCAAGACTGAGGTTCACCTTTCCTACTCCGTACCCAAAGAACCGGTACCAATGATGGGAAAGACCATCCTTCCCCTGCAAAATCACAGCAGGGCCTGTGTAGTCTGGTGGCCACACATGTGGGCCTCCCTTGGACGCAGTGATGCAGGGTGTTGACCACAGGGTGGGGATGTGAGGGTGGTGCCCAGATGGCAGCATTTGCTAACTCCCATGGTGTTGGTAACCTCCCCATAGCCAATGTCAAGCTGCCAACACGAAGTCAACCAGCTTCAGCTCTGTGATGTTTAGTTGGCTCTGGGATGTAGGATGAGCTGGTTCTGGCTCCATGGCATTGGTTTGTACTTCTGTCCCAGCCAGTTTTTGTTTTGCCTCAGACGTGAGACACACAGGCCAGGCCTCCTCCCTATGTTCCCCCAGCCGTATAAAGCTGAGCTGTTCGCACTCACCTGCACCCCAGAGGTAGTTTGGCCTCCTGGTCATGGTGTGGACGAGGTGGCCACCCTCAGCTCTGCCAGATCTGAGTAGCCAGGCCGCTCCAATGACAAAAGCATCCAATAATCTATATGACTTATGGGGTGGAGGGTGGGGTGGGATGATGACATTTGCATTGCTTGCCTGAGTTTCTCTCCAGTCAGGTCAAAAGAGCAAGAGAAGGGACTCTGCACACTGAAGTTTCTACTTCTGCCTACCTGTGGAGGCCCCGTGAGAAAGGACATGGGACCCTGGGCCACCTGGTGAGAATCACTGCATGGCAATACCAGGTGTCCAGGTCCATTTGGGGATTTGCTGAGACCCATCAGCCATAGGGGTAGCTGTCCACTGTGCATGGCTGTGGAGTTTAGATTCTCCCCACCAGGAGGCGCTCCAGTCTCACAGGGCAGCTTGGGTCCTGAACTGCACAGGATGGCTGGTTGGCAGTGGTCAAGAACACACTGAGACAGTGGCCTCTGCTCTGTCACCACCTGTCCTTGCCAGGACATCGTACTTGGAAGTGACAATGGCTATGACCTTTAATAGCTCCAGTTTCACAGCAAGCAGGAACCCACTTCATGGCCACCCTAATGTAGCCTGGGTGTGCCACGTGCACAGGTACTGGGACAAGGGGTTTTAAAGCAGAGGATATAGGGCCTAACCTTGCATGGCCGGGTCATCTGAGACACAGTTGCTGAGGCAGGACTGGACACCAGCAGAATTTATTAGGCAGAAATTCCTCCAGAGAGGAAACAGACAGGGGCTGGCAGGAGCAAAGATTGAGATACAACGCGGGTACTAAGGTGGCTAGGAGTCCTGGTGGCAGGTATGGACCCTATGACCTTCATCTTGTCCGGAGCCCAGCTCAAGACCAAGGGGCAGTTATCCTGAAAGGATGAGTTCACCAACCTCCTCATTATATCCTCTGGTGGTTCCCCAATTCCACCTCCCTCCATCACCATAGCAACCCACAGCCCCTAACTAGGGACTGTAGCCACAATGGGTGCAGGGCAGTTTGCTGTGTCCTGGGGCCTCCTTGTTGATCTTTTCTCTCAACCTGGTTGAGCCCTTCAGGCCCCCATCAGTATCAGGGTGTCCCCAAGCCCAGGGATGCAGCAGGCATCCTGTGTCTTCATTTTGTTCTAGTTGGGGACAATTGTGTTGGAAGTCACTGCTATGACCCCTTGTGCCGTGTAATGGGCTGAAAACACTGTCCCTGAGTCTTAGCAGGAAGGTGGGAGGCAGTGTGGACAGGGTACTGTAGTGTAGGACACACTCCCTTGGGCTCGGGAAGCTACATGTCACCAGGAATCCCGCTGTGGGATGGTGGGGCAGCTGGCGGGATTGGGGGTGTGTGGGTGGGTTTTGGTGGGTGAAGACCTCACAGATCTAATCTCAGGCTACCTGGCCAATCCCTGTGCTTCTAGGGCGGAGTGGCAGTGTTCTGCATTTGCCGCACTCATGCCACCAAAACAGAGGACCCAGGTGATAGCAGAGTGACCTGAAAATTCTGCACAAAGGAAGCCAGAGCTTTTCACAGAGGACTAAACATTCACAGAGTCACCAGAGGGCGCCATGGGTTAACGCCAGAGACGTTAGGAATTAAGGCTGCTGTGATTGTTTTGTTAGTAAGTGAAGATTGGATGGCTTTTGGGTGAAGGGCCACCTCTTCTGACCAGAGTCTAGTGTAGGTTTTGAGACATTAAAATTCACAAGCAGCCCAGAAAATTCTCAAGATGGGCTCCCTGTCACTGACTCCCCAAGCCCTGGAGCCTGTTATGTTCTGGGAATCCAGGGAAACATAGAGCTGTGACATCCTGGAGTTGCCAGGGCAGCAGGCCACGTTGACTTAGGTCAGTGAGTGACACCCCTGGGGGGCATTGGGCAATGGCAGAGACACTGGTGGTGATCACAATTGTGGCAGCTGCTGGCACTTAGTGGATAGAGTCTAGGGACGCTGTTGGACACCCCACAATGCATAGGTCAGCCTCATCCCTGTCACCCTAAAACAAGGCAGTGTGTGCTCCCAAAGTAACAGGATTATTCAAGGGTGGGCAGGGGACTGTAATCTGATATTGCAGACCGCAGGCGGATCCAAGAAGATGGAGGCTTTCAAAAGGGACAGAGAAGTTCCTGTGCTGGTTTAAAACCAAGTCACTCAGTCACAGAGGCTCCCAGTGTGAGCTGGTATCACTCATCAGCACGCCATGTCACTGGGGAGGCATCTTTTCAGAGCCATGGACCCGGGGCTCGGTGCTCATCTCCCCAACCCCATCTCCCGGCTCTGCTTGGGTATGACATAAGAGACTCCATCTTAGCATTGGTAGCATTGACAGCCCAAACAAGGAATCAATCCTCCCTCCCAAAATATCTGCAGGTCCAAGGCTGAAAATTCATGAAAAGGGCACTTTGTCCTCTGGGTGGGAAGGGCTGCCCTGGTTGTGGTACAGATGAAGCTTTCAGGTGTTTCTGAAAAGCTCCTGGGGGTCTTCTCCTTAGGGGTAGGGGAGGGCCGCTGGCTGGTGGAAGGGCTCCCCCTCCCTGGGAAAGCCAGAGATCTGGACATGGCCTCCTGCCATATTCTCATGCACCCTAAGGAAGAGACCCTGCAGCAGGTGACATGCATCTGTGGGTCCTCAGGCCCTAGGTGGGTCAGGACAGGCCCAGGGATGAGCCAGGTATGCCATGGTCTGTGCTGGGGTCCTTAGCCCAGAGATTCAGACACTCCCTTGGTGACCAGGTCTCAGTGCCAGTTGAGCCAAGAACAGGAAGGACCAAAGCCAGGAGTTGGTCCCTATGGGAACCTTGTGCCAGCAAGGGCCAGGTGTTGGGGGAGGAGCAGTGGGAGGTGGAGGTGGCAGGAACAAGGGCTTTGGAACCAGGGAACACCAGCAATGCCAGAGACCCTACCTGGTAGGACTTCAGGAAAAGGTTGGGGAACAGAGGCCCCCAAGCTGTAACCAGATGACCTGAAGCTGGAGAAAGGCAGGATCTGGCAGCACTGGGGCATGTTGAGGCCAGGGTGCTGGGGTCGGGGAAGGGGACCCTCCTGAGGAAGGAAGAGGCCAGATGGGAAGAACGGCACCAGGACTTGCAGCCGAATGAGATCCACATATTCCCACCATGGACCCAATTGTCCCAGGTGCAGGGGCCGATGTCACTGACCCATTTTTGCTTTCTTGGGCATGGTGGCATCCTTTCTCTGCCCCCTCTCACTACCTCCCCACTTTGGTCCCCAGGCCACTTGGGCTGCAGCAAGGAGGGAAGTGCTGAGCACAGCAAACCCAGGGTCTCGGATCTGTCCAAACGCCCTTGAACTACAAGTTGCTTCTTTTCTTCAGCAGCTTCCTGGAGTTCTCACCATCACCAGCTTCACTTTCTTGCTGACTCAGTCTCTTGCTGCTTATGACACAGAAGAAAGGCAGCAGTTAGAGTGCAGGGTGAACCAGGGCAACAATTGCCACGTGCACGTGGACTCTGGAGAAACAAGCAGAAGCCCCATTTTCCTCTACTGGGACATCCAGTGCCAGGGAAAGAGGGCACTGAGCACCCTCTGGCTCAGGTGGCCAAGTTGCCCTGGAAGGATCCCACAGTGAGGGAAGCAGCCAGCCCAGAGGCTGGCCGGTGAAGGGGGCATCTGCCTGGCTATTAAGGGGACACAATGACAGTCACAGCAATGCCGGCATTTCCCGATGTGGTCATGGCTCACTGTCCTCAACCACAATTTTTCCTGGGCCTCACGTGACCACCTTCGAGAAGGACCTGTCTTCCTGCCCCAGCCAACTGCGGTGGGAGATCAAGAAGTGCCCACAGACAATAAGCTGGGGACCCCTCATACCTGAGTGATCCTGAGGCATGGTCCGCTGAGGCAGGGACCTCATCGTTGGGTAGCACCGGGTCCTCTTTTTCCCGGGGTGGGGCCTTCTTTCTTTTGGTCCTCAGGGGCTTCTCTGTAGAAGACACACAGGGCCCAGGCATGGCTCTGTGACTTTAGACATCTCCTGGTCACCTCTCCAAGGCTTGTCCCAATGTAGCCTGACATTTTTTGAGTATCCTTGGAGGACCAGGCACACCTTGGTCCCTTATTGCTACTTTGCCTGCTTCACTGCTAAGGAAACTGAGGCCCTGAAATGTCCTTCCATGCCAGTGCAATTGGGCAGGGCCAGCTGGACATGGAACCCAGTCAGTCGGGTCCCCCATGTTTCTGTTCCCTGCAGCAGCTTGCGGGACTCAGGAGGCAGGAGAAAAGGAGGACACAGTGCAAGTTCCACAGCTCTTGGCTTAACAGAGCTCTGCGTTTGCAGCACCTTCCCGTCACTCTCCCCTATCAGATTACAACAGCCTGTGGTGTCACCAAAGTGTCCCTGGCAGGGACAGGAGGGCTCATTTCCCCACTTTACAGATGGGAGAACAGAGTCAGGGTGAGACATGGCTGTGAGCAGCAGACCCAGGAACTGGGACTGTGAGACACTGGAGACCCAGGGGCCACAGCGCGTCCTCACTGAACCTGCTCACCTACAGAAAGGACAGGAAAGCCCAGAGAGGTTAAGTACGACCCCTAGGCCACATGGCCAGTTAGAGGTAGACAGGAGACTAGAACCGGTATTTCTCAGCCCAGAGCACCTTCAGCGGCAGCTCCCTGGTGCCAAGACTTACCCAACAGCCCGCGCTTATTGGAGAACAGCTTGTGTTCCGCAAGGGGCACTCGGGCCAAGGCGGCCAGCTCAGAGATGAAGATCTGCTCAGCTTCCTGTCATGCAAGTGGGGGAGAGGATCAGTGGCCTCCCTCAGACCTTCGCCCCCCCCCCCGTGAATCCCCCAATCACCGCCAGTACGAAGCCGGACGCTGTGGGGGGCTGGCGGGATGTGTCCCGTGTGGGAAAGGGTTCTCCTAGAAGCATCCTTGACAGGCCAGGAACAGGGAGAGGCATGGGGAAGAGCAGATAACGGCCAGATAACTGCGGGTCCTCCCACCAGCCACATAGCCCCATCCACAGATGAGAAACTGAGGCAGAGCGCTCAGCACCTGCCACAGACCAGGCTCTGTCCCACTTGTGCCTGACGCCAGGGCTGAACACGTGGCTGTTGTTTTAACCAGGCAGAGTCAGAGTCCACGACATACTACTGTGTGACACTAGACAGTAATGTCACCTCTGCAAGGCTCAGTTTCCCCATCTGTAAATAAGTGACCACCTCCTTGATTGTCGGTTAGATGGTGTGAGATGTCCGCTCGGTAATGTCTGCATTACTCAAGAAACGAATGCTTGCTTTCACTGGTGTCACATTGCCACCCTAGCAGGGAGTACTCTAAAAGGGCCACAAGCTGTCACATGCCTCCAACTGGAATATTTGGTTTTTCTTTAAGTTTGTATTATAGCCACATTTTTTTTTTTTGTGGTACTGTGGATTGAGCTCAGGGCCTTAAGCTCGCACTACCACTTGAGCCACACACCCAGCCCTTTTGATTTTCAGAGAGGGTCACACACTAAATTTGCCAAAGTTGGCAATGAATCGGGATCCCCTTATCTCTGCCTCCCAAGAAGCTGGGATTATAGACATGATGAACCACGTCTGGCCTGCAGCCACATTTTATAATCTCACCAAGTGGAATTTTCTGTGCTAAACATTCACTTTACATCCTGAGAGCTGAGCTGCCTGTATGTTCTAAAGTGCCAGCCTTAGTTGCCACCAACACGACCCAAAGGATGAAGATGTTAGTCCCAAAACCTGCAGCCCTCCTGGTAGCAACTGCACATAGGAAAATGCCCATTCTCTACTGCTGAAACAGATGTTTAGAGTCCGTGCAGGCTCTGCTCCCCAGGGAGCTCAGGGTCCCCCAGTGAGGCTGCCACAGCATCAGCTGGTGGGACACAGTGGACTGACGATGCCACGAGCCAAGGGAGGTGCAGAGGCCTCTGTGGCCCCCACACTGGCTCGTGTGCATGAGGCCTCTGTGCTTCTGCTCCTCTATAGACCACGGCTTTCCAAGGCCCATTCCAGACCTCTACCTGCAGCTGAGCCTCAAGCTGGAATTCCAGGTGGTCCAGAACTCTTGCCTTCTGCTTCTGTGCGTCCAGGCGGCTCTGCTGGTGCCCTGTGAACTGGGCCAGGAACCTTTTCTGCTGCGACAGCATTCTGGTGGGAGGAGCAGAGGTGGTCAACACTGCCCAAACCACAGGAATTAGTGACCTTAGTTGTACCTGGGCCCCAAGAGCCCCCAAGAGGAGTTCGACAGCCGAGTCCCCTGACCAGCAGTCAGATGCCACACAAACACGGAGGAGGGTGTTAGAGAACCCTGGATGCACATTGCTTTTCAATCCCTAGGGTAGCACAGGGACATTAGCAGGATAGAGAAGAAAAATCAAGAGGATGGAGAAGCTGAGAGGGGATTGCCTGGGACACGGTTGCAAGGTGGCTGGAATCTTTTCATGAGAAAACCACCTTGGCCGGGGAGGGGCGTTCTCCTAACAGGACCAGAAGGCTGCCAGCTCCCCATCCTGACTCTCATCTCAGCACTGCCCTCCTCCTCCCTTGTAAAACAGGAAGCTTATTTCCTGGGATAGTGTCCGAAAAAGCCAGAATACGGTGGCCCTGTAACTCTGGGAGGCAGGGGACAGAGCCAGGGCAGAGGCCTGGTCTCTGATCCTAGAAGACCACCCCCTCTCTTAAGAGGCTTGGCTCTCCCTTCACTGGCTGAGCTTCCTGTGACCCTCAGCGAACGGGAACATTCAAACCCTGTTTCCATCACTGCTCCCTGCCGTCCTCCTTTCCATCTTTCAGGATTTTCTGAAAGGGCGAATTTCTACATCTGAAGGCCAAGTCACCTTTGGCACCAACAGGCAGCTGTCCTAGTACACCTAAAGGCATAAGGATGCCACCTGGCTTTTGCTCTGTGCTCTGCTGTCTGCAACGAACACCTTTCTCCTCTTCCTTATCTTTGCCTGGAAAACACCTATTCCAGGTGTAAGACCCAATTGTGCATCCGTCCATCCATCCATCCAACCATCTGTCCATCCACCCACCCATCCTTCTGTCCACCCATCCATTTTTTCATTCATTCAAGTATTTCTGGCCCACCAGGAGCTGCACTGGGTTTTGAGACACAGATGTGAATAACATTCCTTGAACTCACAGAGCTCCCTTTGAGTGGGGGAGGGGTAGGTAGTGAGCAGGTATCACCTGTGCCCCGGAAGGACAGGGCTCTGAATCATGGTTCCCTCCCACAGTGTCCAGAGGGCTGAGTTTCTGTGGGTTCAGGGAGGGAAAGGCATCAACAGCCATGCTGAGCCTCTAAGCTACAGCATGACAGGTTCATGCCACTCCACACACACCAAGCTTGGTGCGGATGGGCCAGGTGGCCACTGAGGACCCTCCTCTTGGGTCACCTGGGTTAAAGATCACCCCTGAGACTGCATTCCAGTTGGGTCTCTGGGGGTGGCAGGGGTCAGGATGTTAAAAACTCAGATTCCTGGGCACCCCCTGCAGCCTGGATTCTGTTTCCAGGTGTGGGCTTGAAAGTTGAGAGCTGAATGGAAGATCAGTGATGCTTCTGTACCCCAAATCTGTGGCGCTCTGGACCAAGGTCTGATGGCTGCAGGATGGTGGGCAAGCCCCGACTGAGTAGCCTGGTAGCAGGGCCCTTGCTGACGCCGCTAGTGCCCAGGTGGAAGTCTTGGTGGGGGAAGTGATTTGGTTCAGTGGGGCTTCCATTCTTGTTTCCAGCAGGGCAGTGCACTGCGGGGCTGGAACCAGCTTTGCTGCCTGTGGCATTTCCCTCACCCCCACCCTGTGTGGCTGCTGTCCTCTGCTGCTCCTCCTGGGCCAGGGCCTTCCTTGTGGTCCCCAGTGCCCATCTTCCCTCCATGGTCTTTATTCCTGCGACTGTCCCTCCAGGCTGTGAGCACTGAAACAGGTGGTAGGAAGCACCCTGTACCATGCTCAGGCAAAGCAAATAGGAGGTGCTCCCAGGCAGCATGTCGGTGCTGCATCCACAGCCCTTCAGCCCAACTGGAGGTGACAGTTTCCATGGATGCCCATGGCTCCTCACTGTGTCTCCTGGCTTTCTCTGGCTGCAGGGCCTGTGCTTGGCCTGCAGAGCTACCTGGGAGAGCTGGAGAGTTAACACACAAGGACTGACGCTTGCCCCACATGGAAAGGGTGCTGGGAGACCCACGCTTGACTGGTGAGGACAATCTAAGTTGTCTTTTACGTCCCTCTAAAGCTCCTCCATCACATCCTCCATTGTGATGGGCACATGATGTCCCTAGGATGTCCACTCCCAATCCACATCCATCTCCACACCCTGAACCCTGGAGCCTGTGAAGACCGTCTACACAGCAAACAGGGCTTGCAATCAGGGCCACAGACAGCCAGATTGGGAGGTCAGCCCTGAGCGGCCCATGGGGCTCAACCTCGTCAGCTAGATGTTAAGAACAGACCAAAGTCTCCTGCTGGGGTCAGTGGATGGTGTAGACAAAGCAGGCAGAAGAGACCCCTGGGTATGTGCAGAGTGTGACACACTGCTGGTGCTGAGCTGAGGGGTCCCATGCAAAGACCAAAGAGACGCTCTGGGAAGTCAGGATAGCCAATGTGACAGCCAGAAAAGATATGGGGACCTCAGTTTTACAGCAACCTGACTGAGCTTGGAAGAGATTCTCCCCAGAACTGCCACATCCAGCTATCTCACTCCCTGATTTTAGGCCTGAGAGACACAAAGGAACCAGACAAGCCAATGTGGTCATGACCTACAGATCTGTGGGAAAATACCTGGTCACTGTGATGGCCACTGTTGTAGGAAATGCCTGCCTCTGCCTCCCTCCTCATCCTCACTTTGCCTGCTGGGGTCTCCTCTCAGTAAACTATCTGCACTCAAATCTCTATCTTGAGGTTGGCTTCAGGGGACCTGAAGTCAGTATGGGAGTAGAGGTGCTGGCAGGACACTTAAACCTGGAGGCACAGCCCCTGCCAAGCAGTGACTTGCCTGAAAAATTGTACAAGGTACCATTGTCAGTGCCAGGTGTAGGGCAGGAGACAGTGAGTGTCCACACTGTGTAGGCGGTCAGGATACACCCACATCAACAAGCAACTGCATGCAGGGTCACAGAGCAGCATGTGACATGAAGAGGGCAGAGGACACCCGTGTGGGGACCCAGAGCCATCGCTGAACCTCACCTCTGCTGCACAGCCTGGGAGACCTCAGGGGCGCCACCTGCCACATGGCTGCCTGACGAAGGCTCGCTGACTTCTTGGTTCTTCCGCAGCTTGTAACTGTCGATTCTCTCACCTGGACCCATGAACACCGACAATCAAGGTTTGTGTCTGGAACACAGACTGCCAGGCCCGGGCCAGAGCTGGGGACTCAAGGGGGAGCCTGCTGACTGAGAATGCTGTGCACACCAGCCTGGGGACTGCAGGGTGCACGAGAGCCACATGGCTCAAGAGGAAGTGCAGATGAGGAAGCACGCTGTGACACTGAGGCTGTCACTGACAGCTCAAAAGCCCCACCAGCAGGGAAGGGGACTAGCCAAGTGGAGCTGCCAGCTGTGCTGCCCTGTGAATACTGGCGTCTACATAAACGCTCTCCTTTTCCTGTCCTCCCTCCAGGGAGCTTTGATGAGGCCACGCTCATCTCCTACAGCTGATCCAGCTGCTCAGAAACTCCCGGATTCAAAAAATAAAATTAAAGCGATGAGCTGCCCCGGGACAGGTTCTATGTACAATGTACCCCGTCTGTCTGAATAATTATCCTTGTGTCCTCACAGCCCAGGAGGGTCCTGGTTTGGAGGATAGACAGGTGACTTTCTCTGAGGTACCTCTGAGCCAAATCACCCAACTGCTCACAGAGCGGGTTAGTCAGGCTGAGTTCTGCCTCTTAGCCAAACAGGATGTAGAATGGAGCAGACTGGTGTCTGCAGTCTGCTTGGTGTAGTTACCCCATTTCCATGATGGGTATGACTCCCCCCGCCCACAGAGCTGGGCATCGGGGGAGCAGGCGATGAGCTCAGAGGACCTGTGGAGGGTGTTTAACCCTAGTCCCACAGATGGGAAAGTGAGGCCCTACAGAGGGGAGGTGACACACCCCGGTTCTGCCATGTTCTGCAGTGGTAGGCAGACATGTCTACCTCTTGCTAAACAACTCAACTCTCTTTGGAAAACCATGGTGGAGAGTCTGGGGCCATTTGCAAAAGTCTGGGCAGGTGCCAGATTTTGTGAGTTCCCAGGACAAGGGGGAGACAGGTGGCAGCTGGGCTCCACAGAGAGAAGTCATGGGCACAAAGGTGTCCTAGGACTGTCAACCTGTTCCTCCTCCTAGGGATCCATCACACCATGTCCCCGAACCTGTTCCTTCTCCTAGGGATCCATCACACCATGTCCCCGGACAATGTAGAAAGCACAGGGCAGGAGTTCTGCCCTGTTCCAAAGCTTTCACGGCAGGGGAGGAGATTATCGATGGTGGAACTCTGAGGAACTGGCTCTGTGTGCTATTATTGGTATGTTATTACAGGAACAGGGGACAGCATGTACTCCATCCCCTGGGGAGGGGCCTTTTAGGGATCCCCTGGGAGACAATTCTCAGTCTAGGAATACTGCAGGGGCCACAGGCTTGCTCTGACTCCCGCTCACCATGGCGACTTTAACTGAGCGAGTTTCTACCTCCTTAGCCACCAGGAAGCTGGAGACAGAGCCACTTCACCTCTCAGCAGGATACCCAGATACTGCCCTCACCTAGGCCCAGCTCACTGTCCTGCCCCATCCTGATCTTCCCCTGTAAGGGCCTGAACGAGCCTTTACATTAAAACAGAAAAGGTTACATTCCCCACACGAGCTCCTGCACGCACGCAGCTGGCCCTGCCCCGAGGCCTCGCACCCTGCAGGGTCTTCAGGCGCTGCAGCATTTGCTCCTCGTGGTCCTGCACAGCCCTCCAAAGTCGCTGGTGATACTCCTGCACCAGGCGGCCGACGCCAGCAGCGTCACGTACACGCTCTCCACCACTGACTCCACCAGCGTGCTCTGTGGGGAGGATGGCAGAAAAGTCACTGCGGCCAACTTGGGAGCTGAAAAGTTATGTAAGGAGCAAGTCTTCTCCCTCCCCCACTCTGGCTTCCTCCCACCACTGCCACTGACCATGGGGTGACACAGCAGGGGAACTGGGGGGACTCCCAGCATCCAAATCTGTAAGCTAAGCAGATCTTTCTTCTTTATAAAGTTAACCTGCCTCAGGAATTTCATTACAGTGACACAGATCCGCCTAACACACTTGGGAAAGTCTCTTCTATGTACGTGCGACTTCTTAGCAGGCATCTGTTACCTACGGCTCCAGGTGTCCCTGAACCAGGAGGTTCCAATCCCACCCACCAGGGACCCTGGGCTCTGGCTCTGCTCTCCTTGTCGGTGGCTGATGACCCTTGGATTTTAGGATGCCCGAGGTCTCTCCTCCTCCCCTTAAGCCTGTCCACTGTTGCAGTGGGCATGTCCACTGCAGGCAACTCCTCCTTCCTCCTCCTGGACCTTAGACCTCAGCCTGGGCTGCCCCCCACCCACCAGCGTTTCTGGCTGGTGTCCCATCCCCACCAGTTGATCCATTTGCTCCAGGGTTCCTGTCTTTCCCACCACCACTGGCATTCCTTCCCTCCTCCTTCCCACTTTGCCCTTACGCCTCATGTGTAAGGCCCTGTGATGGGTTGCCATCCCTCACCACTCTATGGGGGAGTGAGTCCATCTTACAGATGAGAACACTGAGGCACCAGGAAGTGAGGCCAACTCTGCAGGCCGGAAGCTCTGAGGAGGTGCGGAAGACTGGCCACAGGTATTCTGGCCCGTCCTTCCCGCTCCTGGGGTGCTGGGGACCAGACTGGCACACACCTTAAAGTCCTCCCTGTCCTTGGCCCGGCTCCTGCTGGCTGTGTTCCGTGCATGCGCGAGCAGTGCTTGCCCAATAGCTTGCTCCATGTGCTGTTGCAGGAGCTGCCCAGCCTCCTGTGCCTCAGCCAGCAGCTGCTGCTGGAGCCGCAGCCTTGTCTGCTGGGCCTCATCCTCCAGCCTGGTAGCCTCCTCCAGGACGCGGGCCTCCTGCAAGGGAAGGCCATGCTGCCACTTACAAGAGCAGCCCCTGCCGGTACAGGACTCAGGGTGGGTCCTGCCCAGGCCCAGAGATGAGGAAGGGATGGAGGAGAGGAAGGCTTCTTTTGAAATACTAACACAAGAGGTTAAGTGTCTGTTGTCCCCTCTGTCCCAATGGCATTTATTCAGCACCAACTGTGTGCTCAGGACCATCTGTGGATCCTCACAAAATGAATGCCTTGCTCATCCTTCTAGAGCACTGTGAGGCATGAACACTGGGATTGATGGGGTCATGAAGGCTCAGAGAAGTTGAGCAGCTTTCTAAAAGTCACACAGCACAGCTGGGTTTCCAGGTCAGCTCTAAGTCTGGGAGTAGTCTGGGGACATTGCAGAAGCTGCGGCAGGGACACAGACCACTGGGGAAGGGGAGTCAGAGCTTGGGTGGCATCCTGCCTGCTTCCCCCAAACATTCCTGGACAGCGCTAAAGAGACTGTGAGCTTGTGCCTCCCTAGTGGATGTGAAGCCCTCAATGCTCCTGTGACCTTGGGGCTTCGTACTTGAGACCTGGAGTGGCCTGCCACTCACAGTTCTTTCTTTTGGTCTTTGAAACCCTTCCTGGAGATGACAAAGACCTTTCCTCCCATGCCCCGATGGGTTCACTTCCATTTTCTGCTTTGACTTCCACATGGCACCACTGTCCCCATCTGTTTTGGGCTACATGGTGTACTCTCAAATCCACATGCTGCAGTCCTCACCTCCAGGACACAAGCATGGGACTTCATTTGGAGACAGGGTCACACACTGGAAATGGGATCACTAGGGTGGCCCTAATCCAGTCCGCCTAGTGTCTTCATAAGAAGAGGTCAGGACACACACACACACACACACACACACACACACACACACACAGGGATGGCCACGTGAGGACACAGGAAGAAGATGCCAGGAGGAACCCAGCCCTGCCACACCTGGGCTCCGGTCTCTGCCCCTCTGGCTGGAAGAGGGTAGGGTGGATGAAGCCCTTTGTGAGGACCGTGCTGTCCTGCAACCACAGCAGTGGTGGGACTGGGTTGTGACAACCACAGCTGGACCCTGACCTGATGAGGACACCTCCTGTCTGGGGTGGGCGGGGTGGCACCATCTCACCAGGGCCTTGAGCAGCTGCCACTGATGCTCGTCCAGGCACGGGGAGGCGCCCTGCTCCAGTGCATGCTGCTCCCGCAGCTCCTGGAGAAGCCTCTTCTTCCCAGACAGCCTCATCTGCGTCAGCGTGGCCACGGTGCCACCGCGGAGGGCCAGCCTCCGGAGGACTGAGCACAGTAGCAGCTGATGACTCTGCAGGATGCTCCGTGTGGACCTGTGAGGACAGTGGGCAGGGCCAGGGGTCAGTACCATGGCTGCACTGAGCTAGCCAGACTCTCGTCACAGTCATACCTGCCACAGTGGGAAGTGGGGGGGAAGCCATCTGTCCCCTCCCTGTCCTCAGACAGGGCTGCCTGTCAAATAGACTAATCCAACTTCACAATGTTATGACTTCCATGTAGGATGAGGAATTTCACTTTCTTTTCAGACTTTGCAGATAACTGGTAAGTCTGAAAAGAATGGAAGCAAAGGCCTGGGACTCAGAACACAGTAACTGACACTTGGGCAGATTTCAGAGCAGGTAAGGCACAAAGCGAGAGTGAGTGGGAGGGCAGCTCACTTTGGTATCAGAATACCAAAGAGTGAAAAAGAATGGACCAGTGCGTATGGAATATGTCAGAGAAGTCAGGAGAGGAGGGTCCACGCCATCGGCACAGCGCGAAGCCCCGCGGCCCCAGCCTGGCTCCCCAGGCCTCCCCGGTCTCCCTCTGCCTAGCTTTCGGCCTCTGACTTCCCCTGTATTACCCATTACCATAGCTCTACTCCTGCCCCTTGATACACAGGTCAGGCTCCGGAAGAGGCTGGGCAACTACAAAAAGGAATTAGATCCATCATTTTTCTCATGGGAAATAAAGAATGAAATTTCAGCTAATTAAAAAAATATTGCACTAATAATTACAGTGAAACGTGAAAGCGAATACAAAAACTGATCAATAAATGGAGCGTGATTATAAACGGTCCAAGGGGTGTCCTTGTGTTGGGTCAGTGTTCTGCCTTTGGATTGTGGTCATAGGTGTCGAACTCTGTAAATTGATGAAAAATCTTGAGGTGTGCTCTTAAGATGACTGAGTGTAAAATTTACCTCACAAAAGCTGTTCAGAAAAGCTACTACCAAGCGCGCCTTGAAGTGGGTGTTATTTTATCCAGAAGGAAACAGAGGCTAAGAAAGCTTGGGTGGCATGCATGCAGAGCAGGGCAGGGGGCAGCGAGGACAGAGGGCAGCAGATGCAGATTTGGGCCGTTAGGGAAGGTGCACTCACTCTTCGGACAGGCCGCCCAGTCGGCTGAGGACCCCGCGGACCGTGCGCTCCTGCTGTTCCCGCAGCTGCGTCTGTAGCACCATGGACAGCGCACACTCCTCCAGCCACACCTGCACCCAGACAGGGGACGCCTGCAAGTGGTTCCACAGCTGGTGGCCATCCCTTCAGCTGCTCTGTCACTGTGCCTTTGCTTCTTCTTCTTCTTCTTTGTTTTAATAAAGACCCTTTTCCCCCTGGTCCCCTTCAAATCTGCTTTCGCTCCTCCCTGGAAATTTTGTGTCATAAGGAGACACGTGCGTCTCACTCGGCAGGACCTTGCTGCACCGAGAGGAAAGTCCTTCACCTTCTCAATTCCCTGCAGTTTGGAGCTGGCCACCCTGCCTGCAGGATGCGGGTGAAACACAGGTGGACAGAGGCACCTGTGTCTTGATGTCAGTCCTCAGGCCTTGTGGCTCACGATACTCACATAATCTCACTAAACACTGCAATGCCCAGACATTTCATGAAAAGAGACTCCCGAGGAGTTTCCAATAGTGTGCCAAAGCACTTGAGAAACCAGAACGTTCTAGAAATTGCTACACAGTCTTTCTTTAAAAAGTTGACTATCTGTAATGTATATGGAGGCGTTTGCTGTGTGTTTTGACACCCCGGATAAAACTAGCATCAGGATTCCAGGAGGATCACGAAAGGCCACTGGAGTGGGCACCGCCCACAACTTCCACCAACCTCTTCAATGGGCAACCAAGGCAGCTCCCAAGGGTCGAGATTCAGGGGCAGCAAGTGCCACAGTGGGCAGGGGTGCTGACCTGGTCTCTGCCACCAGGTCGTTTTGTGACCTTATGTTCTTTGTTCATGAACTGTTGGAAGGGAAAGGGCTCTGACAGCTATGGATGACTGTGACAGACTAAAGGTTGACAAAGATGGCCAGAAATGGGGAGGGCTTGCAAGTGTGGTGGGTGCTCAAGTCACCCCCCCAGGTAAATGGTGGGGTACAGGGGTAGGGACGGAAGCACTGCAGTGCTAACAGCATGGCCAAGGGTGACCTGGGGCAGGATGGAGTGAGCCGCAGGAAGGCAAGGGGCCAGCAAGGCCAGGGCAGGGAATGAGCAGGTGAGGTCAGAGGACAACCAGGTACTGTCACCTAGGGCCTCACAGGACCCGGTGAGGACTCTGGCTTGACTCTGCATGAAATGAGAATCACTGGGGTTTTGAGCACAGAAGTGTCATGATCGTGACATACCTAGTTATTTCGGGTCTCACTGAGAGAGAGAAACCACCCTCAGTTAAATTAAGATGCATCCAAATTTCAGGGATGTTTTTAAGTGTACCCTAAAACCGCTGGCAGGCACTCTGCCGCTTGAGCCAGTCCCCCGCCCTTTTTGCTGTAGTTATTTTTCAGATAGGGTCTCACTTTTTTCCCTGGTCAGCCTCCGGGGTCACAATCCTCCTACCTATGCCTGGTGCATAGCTGGGATTACAGCTGTGAGCTACTGGGCCTGGCCTATGTACCTGGTTAATTAATCAAATAGCCTCCGCAGCGCACACCTTCTTTCTTGTCTGTGCCTCATGGGTTGCAGGTTACTTGGTTACTTCCTTTGCACGCTGTGGCCCTTTCTGGACTCCAGCTCGAGCCTCACCGCCTGACTTCCTGTCGTGGATGTGGCTGGAAGGCCATGCTCCCTCATCCCGCCCTCCCACGTGGGCTGCTGGGAACCCCGGCGCGCACCTGCCTGTCCTGCTCCTGCGCGTCCCGCAGGAGCCCCCACTGCCGGCGGCGGAAGCGGTCCGCGCGCCCCAGCTCCCGCGCCGCGCGTTCCTGCACCCGCAGCCGCAGCCCCGCGCACTCCGCCGCCGGGAGGCCGCTGGCGCCCGGGAGCGTCCGCAGGAACAGCGCGTCCACGAACTCCCCGAAGGTTTCCATGGTGCCCTGGTACAGCTCCTGCAGGGGGACCGCACAGGAGGTGAGGGGTTGGTCACCTCCCTCCCTGCCCGCCTCCGCTTCCCTCTGCCTCTCCACGCGCCCACAGGGCACCTCTGACATCCAGGAATGGGGACCATCCTGTCTCAGGCGTGCAGGCACACGCAGGACAAAGACAGGGACGTTGTATACACTGACACGCACATGTACAGACGTATACACAGAGAGGTGCACACCAGGTACACACGCAAACACAGGCACAAAGACAGAGATGTTCTATACACAATACACACGCACACGTACAGACATGTACACACAGGTGCACACCAGGCACGCACACACATGCACACATGTGCACACACGAAGACATACAAGGCTCACACACATACACAAAGACATTCTATACACTGAAACATGCACACACACAGACATGTATACACAGAGCCGCACATGCAGGCACACATGCACAATACACAAAGACATACAAGGCTCACACACGCACACACAGAGACAGGGATGAGCACAGAATTGCACACACAGGTGCATACATGTGGACATACACACAGCCTGCACACACATGTTCACACACAATCTGGGGACCCATGTGCTGGCTTTGAGCCCTCTTACCCCCACTCAGACAAGCTCCAGACCCGCCCCTTACACCATGAGCCCTTAATCTCTGGCACCTCCTCTAAAATCCCACCTAGGCTCTTTGTGTCACCATCTAGATTATGCTCACACGCCACTGGTCTGTCTCCTTCCCTATCTTCTACACATGGAGGTATGGGGGGGTTGTTAATACAGAAACCCCAGTCTCTCAAATACCTGGAAAACTGGTTCCCATCCTGCTCGGGTACCCAGCAGGGCTTCCAGGCCGCCCTGGCTCTACCCCAGCCTCGTGTCTGTCTGTCTTTCCCCAGCCATGGGTTTCCTTAAATTATGACAAATGCCTCATCCTGTAGATAATATGCTTAATGCCTGTGAATCCATACGCTGACCTTTTTCTTCTTTTTAAAATTTAAAATGCCACAGCTACCAGAGTAAGTTAAATTCTTTATTTCCCGCTCCCCTCCCAGTCTCAGAGCTGCTCCATGAGCCCAGTGTCTCTCTCTCCAGCTGCATTTCTGTACTTTTCACTACATGTGACAGTCACAAACATGGTTTTGGGTGTGTGCAACTCCCACCTAACCGGTGTCTCACTGCCTGGGTCATTATGCAGAAGCTTTTACAAGCCTCTCTCCCTTCACCCCACTCTGCTAAGCCCCTCAAAATAAACCTAACCGTATGGACACTGCGTTGGCTACTCAGGCTGCCATGGCTATTTCTGACCCTGGACTCCCATGGGTCTCTGTCCAGCCAGGATCTAAACCACAATGTATCTACCACCCCCGCAGGGCTGCTCCCTTACAGCAGAGGCTGCATCACGCCTTGGTCTACACCCCGCTGTGAGTCTCCCCCCAGCAAGCCCCTGACTGCTGTCCCTGACTGCATCTTGTGGGACAGGACTCCAGCGCCCGTGTCCTCCTTACTATCTAGGAACCCTCCCACCCAACCATGTTCCAAACTCAATTTGAGGTCTCCTTCTCTGGCAAGGGCCCCGGCCACAGGGTTGAATAAGTGCAATGAGATTTAGCCAAACGCCCACTTTCATTTTGGAGTCTGGAATTGTGGTCCTGGCCAGGCAGGTGCCCATGGACTGTCACCCACAGAGACCCTGGACTCCTGAGCTCAGGCCAGTTTCCTGGTAGACAGCATCTTGTGTGGGGGTCACAGCTCACTGCTGAGGAATGAAGGGCCCCGTGCGACTCCACGGGAAGAGGACTCTGCAGGCTCACACCCATCTCCCTGGTTTTCACCCCATTCACCTTGACCTTTGGCCGACTTTGCTCTGAATCTTTTTGCTGTAACAAATCTTAGCCATGGATGTAACTACGCCCTACCTCCGCAGCCACTGGCTGATTACCCTTCTCACGGACTAGACCACAAAGTTCCTGCTTCACCATAGTCCCCTTTATGCATGGATTCAGTTCCCTGTGGAGCTGAGAAAATTCCAGAAATAAGCAAATCCTCTTTAAACTGCACATTGCTCTGAGTATCACAATGGAATCCCATGCTGTCCAGCTGCATCTTTCCCGTGATGTGAATTGCACCTTTGTCCAACAAAGTATCCATGCTGTATATGCTACCTGCCTGCTAGTCACTAGCAGGGGTCTTGGTTATCAGACCTACTGTTGTGGTATGTGTTTGTGTTCAAGTAGGCCTTGTGTTATAGCTCAGTTCTGCCCCATAATGCCTGTCACTCATCTCTGCTCACCTCATCACACAAGCATTGTACTACTCACACCATACCAAGAAGAAGGCTGACTATGGTACCATAGGAGACAGAGAGAGGGAGAAAGAGAGAGAGAGAGAGAGAGTCACATTCATATAACTGTAACTAACTTTTATTACAGAATGTTTTTTATAATTTTCCATTTTATTACTAGGTATTGTTAATATCTTACTCTAATTTATTCTATTTTATTATTAATTAGTGTTAATCTCTTACACTAACTTATAAATTAAATTTTATTATGGGTACCTATGCACAGGAAAAGCATACCACCCATAGGATTCAGTTCTAGCTGAGGTTCTGGGCATCAGTGGGGGTGTTGCATCTTACCTCTTGTGGACAAGGGGACTACTGTACAAAGTCTACTCTTACTACTTGTGATGGTTTTAATCTTAATTGTCCACTGGCTGGACAAGGACATGCCTACAGGATTAGAAAAGAACACCTGGGTGTGTCTGCAAGGGCGTTTACAGATCATGAGGGCTCTGACCTAACAAATGGATTAATCCCTGGATGGATTTGTAGAATGGTGGGAAGAGGCGGGAGGTGGGGACTGGTTGGAGGAAGTAGTGACTGGGGGGGCTGTCCTTGGGGTCATATCCTGCCCTGACCCCTTCCTGTGTCCCCTTTCTCTGCTTCCTGGCCACCATAATGTGAGCTGCTCTGCTAAGTCATAGCCTCCCTGCCATGACAAGCTGAACCCTCTGAAACTGAGCAAAATAAATCTCCCTTTCTTTGCAGTTCTTTATGTTTGGCATCTGTCATGGTGACACAAAAGTGACCAATGCATTGCTTTGCATTTTCAGGGCCTAGAAAAGTGTCTGGCAGATGACAAGTGGGACTATACTGCCAATCACGATGATTTCTTACCACTGCCAAAGACCATCTTAAACCCTGTTCCTGGAGAAGCTCACTCAGAGAATCTCACTCAACCCTTATAATGGTCCAATGCAGATGTCCTGTTAAAATTACCACCATTTTACCAATGAGGAAACTGAGGCACAGAAGTTAAGTAACTGGGAAGTAGTTTATAGATGGCGGGTCCTGGCTCTTGAACTCTGGGACTCACAGTCTTGACCAGTGTGCCCTGCATAACTGATTTTAGAGAACACGTGATGTTTTACGCCTACCTAGGCCATAGCTGCTGTGCTCAGTGGACTTAAGTTAAATTTAATTCCAATCAATATTAATCAAACTCAATGAAAGTCATGCTCTATGAAGCTTGTAGCCAAGCTGAACTTCAGAATAAAGTGACCAGGACAGGGGCATCAAGGACCTACATCTTTTAAAAAAGGGACCCACTGTGTGGAAATAACTGAGCAAGTAATTTGCACCCGTTCTCACACTGAGGATGGAGGAAAAGAGATGTGAACAAAATATCCCTCAAGTTGTCATAAAAGTCACGAAGCGCTAACAAGGTGGTGATGAGTGCTGGCAGAAGACAGAGCCGGGGAGAGGGGGGGTGGGCCAGCCTCAGCTTCCACCTGGGAGCCAACCCAGGGGACTGGTGGACAGCAGAGGTCAGCGCAGTCAGGGCGCAGCTGTTGTTCCTGCTCATCATGGGGCCAGCTAAGCCACTCCACGCTGAGGGTTGGGACCTGGAGTCACATTGGAGAAACACAGAGACGTGGAAGGAAAGCAGCCCAGCGTGGCTTATGATTCAAGCTACTGGGCTCCCTAGTGCTACATATTGGATCTTAGTGTCCTCCAAAGGCCCATCTGGTGAAGGTTTGGTCATTAGCATGGCACGACTGGGGATGGTAGAACCTTTCAGAGGCGGGGCCTCTTGGGAGGTTTAAGGCAGACGTGTGCCTTTGGAGGGGACTGTGTGACATTGGCTCCTTCCCTTTTCTCTTTGCTTCCTAGCCACCACAAGGTGAGCAGCTCTGCACTACCACACACTTCCTGCCATGACATCCTGCCTCACCAAGTGCCCCAAATAATGGGGCCAAATGACCAGGGACTGAAACCTCCAAAACTGTGAATCAGGAGAACCTTTCCTCTTTTTAAGGTGATTGCCTCAGTTATTTTGCTACAGTTACAGAAACCTGATTAATATATCAGGATATTTCAAGCCCTGATTTTTGAATTAAGGTGGCCCTGGATCATTAGAAGCTCTAAGATTTAGAAGAAGCAAGAGAAAGTCCTCTTTGGAGAAGACCATATTGTATAACTGAAAATAATCCTACAAGTCCATGTGCAAATTTGAGCTATGTACACAAAATATAAACAAGATAAAGGCAACACAAGCACAAGACAATATGACCAAAAACCTACAAAAACAAGACATGAAAAACACACCCACAGTCACTCCAGAGTCTAAGTGCAAGACATGACCTTCATCCATGCTGACTGTGCTCTTGATGTTATAAGCCACTCTTAAACCTTTAAACAAAAGCTAGAAATTAAAAATAGTAGCAGTGCTTCATTCAAAAAGAATCAACTAGATATTCTAGAATTGAAAACTGCTGTCCAGTATTAAGAACTGGATGTACAGATTTAACTGCAGTTAGAAGTAGCTGAAGAGAGAATGAGTGCACTGGAGATAAGTCAGAAGAAACTACCCAGCACACAATGAAAAGAGAGAAACGCTCCGAAGATTCAGAAGAGGGTCCCAGCTGTCTCAGTGGAGTCCCTGAGGAAGAGAAGCGAGATTTGAAGAGGTAATGATATGTCCCAAAACAGATGAAAGAAACTCACAGATGGGGAAACTGAGGCCTTACTAACATCTCACTTAAAGGAAATGCTAGTACATTACATGCGCTTACATGGGCATCCTGGTAGCCAGTCTTCAGCACCCATAATCCTAACCCTGAGGCCACTTGGGTAAAAGTTTTTAATTGTTCACAATAGCCAAGCTTTGGAAACAACCAGGTGCCCTACAACTGATGAATGGATCAAGAAATTGTGGTGTATACACACAATGGAGTGTTACTCAGCCATCAGGAATGTGGTTTGAAAGTAAGTGGATGTAACTGGAGGACATCATGCCAAGTGAGGTAAGCCAGGCTCAGAAAGACAAAGGCCTCATGTTTTCTCTCCTATGTGGAAGAGAGATCCAAAAGACAAACTATACACAGAAACCAGCACGACCACATACAAACTCAGATGTAGGACATGTCTGTAACAGTGAAGCTACTCTATGGAACTCAGAGAAGGAGGGAAAGGAAAAGAGAATGATAGGGCATCGATAATATGACAACACCTGTGGAGGTGGAGGACATAAGGATGTGCACTGAAAGCTGTTGAAAAGGGGGATGGGAGGTAAAGGGGTGAGGGAGAGTCATGGAAGGGGTTGAACTGACCAAAGTATGGTAGACTCACAGCGGGCACACATCAAGATACCCCTTTGAACATCGACTTAGCTATTAATGACGAAAGACAGGACTGTAAAATAGGTAAAGTGTCGGGGGGGCACTAGTGGGAGGGGGAGGGGAAGGAAGGAGATGAAGGCAGGGGTGTATGGTTGGTGGACTTCATATACTTATATGAAACAGAACAATGAAACCTCTTGCAATTGTTTTAAGTGGGGTGGGAGGGGGTGGAGAGGGAGATGGTGGGGGCGATCTGAGCAGTGTACAATGGAAGCCTATTCAGAATTGTCACAATGAATCCCTCCTGTACCATGGATATATCTTAATGAAAAAATTTAAAAAACAATCAGTGAGTTGCAGAACCTAATAAACACAGGTCCCTTTTGCTATGATAACAGCAACACAGGTTTTATCAGGGAGACTATTTAACAAAACACAAAACAGAAGTAGAGACAAAGGGTTTCCTTCCTATGGCCATAGGTTTAGTTCACCAGAAAGATGAAAATGCTCCAAATTTGTGTGCAACAGCGCTGCCCACAACAGTGCACTTTGTCTCCTTAGCAGAACAGAGCAGCAAAATACTGCAATGATTACCTCAGGAGACAATGAAAGAGCATTTTACAAAATATACTTTCTGCACATGAGAAATACTCTTAGCAAATTAGTAATGGAAGGAAATTTCCTTAACCTGATTAAAAAAAAAAAAAACTCCAGCAAACATTCCACCTATCATACCTATAAACATTGAGTAAAGAAGGCTTAGCAAGTTCAGAGATATCTATTTCCACAACAGAGACCTTGACGTTGTGAAGACACCAACCTTCCCCAACGGATCTGTAAGCACCCCCGACCGCGGGGATTAAACAGCAGCACTTTATCCCTCACGGGTCTGGAGACCAGGTGTCTGGTGTCAAGGGGCCGGCAGAGCTCTGCTCCTGGAAGGCTCTGGGGAGGCCCCTCCTGCCTCTCCCAGCTCTTAGTGGTCCTGGTGCTCCTTGGCTTGTGGCCGCCTCCCTCCAACCCCTGCCTTGGTCTCCACACTGCTTTCTTCCTGGTGTCTTTGTGTCCTCACATGGCCTTCTCAGAAGGATTCAGAGGTCACACATCCAGTGTGACCTCATCCTAAGTCATTATGTTTGCAAAGATCCTATTTCCAAACACAATTATGTTCTGAGGTTTCAGGTAGACATGAAATTTTGGGGACACTGTTATCGACTGAACTGTGCCCCTCCAAATCCATGTGTTGAAACCCTAACCCTGTCATGTGGCTGTGTTTGGACAGAGGGCCTTTAAGGAGGAGTTAAGCTCAAATGAGGCCATCAGGACTGAGCCCTGATCTGATGGAACTAAAATGCCTTCACTCCTGTCCACCCCTGGCCTGCCCCTCCAAAGCTTGCTTAGGCCTTCCTGTGGACAGCCATCCCTGCCCTCGCCATCACCCCAGGGCATTCCTGGATCTCTGTGCTCATAAGATTGGTGTGTTGACTAGGACAACCAGAGTGCCAGCTGCTGTCTTGGGGCTTCCCAGGCATTCCGTCCTCACAACACTACTATGAGGGACCATCACCGTCCCCATTTCAGAGATGGGGAAACAGAGCTACAGAAGTAATGTTCCTGTGATCATGCAGTGAGGCAGGGGAGACCAACTGAGCTGGGCAGTCCAAGTCCACACCTCTCCCCATGGTACCACCCACCACTGTGGCGCTGTCACACCCTTCCTTACTGCTGTCCCAATTTCCGCCCTTCCCACAACTCTGCATGGGGCCTCACGCAGGGGGTTGTCTGGCTTACCAGCACATCCCTAAAGCCAGCTGTGAGGTGAACAGAGCAGCTCCACTTTCCCAGTTCAGTGGTTGCGGGAGAGCGTAGGGTGGACCCACAGTGGGTATGTGGCCTGCTGGGTCATCTAGCCAGAGAGTGCAGATGGGACCTGAGCCTATGTCTGGGGTCCCTGGCTGAGGCCAAAGTACCTGGCAGAGTGCAGCCATAGCCTCGGTGGTCCTGATGTCCTCTTCCTCCTCTAGATCACTCCGCCTCAACCGCTGCCTCTCCAGGACCTCGTGAAAAGCCTGTGGTTAGAGCAGGAACACTTCATGCAGCAGAAAACTCCAACCACTCGGTTGTCCATCTCAGAGGGGAGGGACCTGGCTTCAGCCATGCTGTCCATAGGTTCTGCCCCCCACTTCTCAGCAGCCCAGTGTGGGACTGAAACTCAGCACTGGTTCAGAGGAGGTAGGGACACAAGGAAAGGGAGTTGGCTACAGTCACTCGGCTGACACGGGGAGGCAGGAGCTGACATAACTCCAAGGGATGCCAAAGATCCCATGCACAGAGATAAGGCCTGAGTCTGCAGGTTCACACAAGAACAAGGGTGGGAGAGGCACAGGGTCACCTTGAGGAACTCCTCGGGGTCTGAGGTCAGCTGGGCAGCAGCCAGGAAGCTTCTCCGTTCCTCCTCCTGGGCCAGCATGAGTTTTGCTGTCTCTTCCGCCTGGTGAACCAGGGACGCCTGGACCAGGTCTTTGCCTCGCTGAATGAACTCTGGGATTGAAAAGAGCGGCAGGATGGGAGGTGACTCTCCTGCAGGACCTGATAGGGCTGCCCCTGTGTGCCACCAGGGGGAGCCAGGAAGCTGGTGCAGTCCTGTTTTGTAGATGACCAACCTGGGTTTCCTCTTGCACGTCTCAGTCTCACTAACCATTTGACTTTCACGAAGGCCTCTAAGTCTTGAGTTCCATCCCACTCACCTGTAGGGTGGGCCCCAGGGCAGGTGCAGAAGTGGGAACACATGTGGCTCCCCTTTATCCACAGTGATCCTGCCCAACCTTGCTCAGCCTACAGTGGGGCAGGACCATGGCACACCGACAGGACCATGGGTAGCATGGCTCTCCACTGGGCCTTTCTTTGTCCATTTCTGGCTGAAACCCTCCCTGATCCTTTGTAGGCTTGATCCGGCCATGGATGTTTGGGTCTTGTCAACCTGAGACACTGAAGACAAGATGGAGCAGGAAACCCTGGCTTTATAAGGACCATGGATAACTCTGCTCTGTGGCCCAGGCCCCAGGGAAGGATCGGAAAGGCAGCCCACACTCAGTATCTCCTGATACCTGTCACCTTGGCCCCCACTGGGTACCACAACCAGCTCACTCACCCCTGCTGAAGCGCTCTGCCTCCTCCCAGAAGGCCTTGTGCTGTTGGGTCAGTAGCTCCTCCTTCTGCCGCCCGGACAGCTTCCCCTGGACAGTCAGCAGTTCCAGGCCGTGGGAGATGGCGGCCAGTCGGCACTTGGTCTCCTCCTGAACCTGCACCCTCAGGAACTCCATCATTTTTGCCATGTGCACCCGTCCCATTGTTCTCTCCAGGGTGTCCTGAGGGGAAACACACAATGGCCCGGCATCAGCACTGGGTCACCAGCTCAGGAGAAGGCACCAGGCTCCAGTCCCATGCTCTGAGCACAGATGGTGAACTTCCCCTAAGACTCCAGTATCTGCTCCCCAGTTCAGGATGGAAATGTCTCCTCTGGGAATGTGTAAAGCTACTGGGTAGGCTCTGTGGGCGCTTAGCCCCTGTGCGTGCTCCCTAGCGGGTCCCCACTGGGCATCACGGCTACTGAGATATGCTGGTTTCTGTTCTGACCATATAGAAGAGAAGGAGAGCAATTCCCAATTATGGAGGGTGGTTTATTCTGCAAGGGCCACCCTTCCTTTGAACCCTCTTCTGCAATTCCACAGACCTGACAGTGGCCAGCAGCTGTGGCCCCTAGAGGGCGCAAGAGGATAACAGAGAGTCAGGTCCAGGCTGCAGGAGAGGCGGGGCTGCCTCAGGGCAGCAGAGAGGATGCTTTGACCCAAGCGAGGCCTCAGGGTGCACGCAGGCTTAGAGAGTGGAGAGGGGTGCGCAGCAGCCTCGAGAGGCCCCACTGCTCGTCCTCAAAATGCCCAACCAGGCTTGTTCCACCCCAGAGCCACATGGCCTGGGGCAGGGTTCCCTTACTGCCCTGGTGCTCCCGTTGACGTGAAGATTAGGTAAGATAAAATATGTCAAACGTTTGGAGAAACAGCCAGAGCAGTCCACGCTTCATCGATGTCAGCTGTTCTCATAACCGGCTACAGCACCCATTCTTCTTTTCTTCCCTTCCCTCCCCTTCCCTCCCTTTCCCTCCCCTCCCCTCTTCCCTTCCCTTCCCTCTCTCTCTTTCATTCTTTCCTTTTTTTTTGTCTGAAGAGACCAAAGTGCTGAAGACCCTGACCTGTGGTCCCTTTTGGGTCTCTTCCGATTTTGGTATAGGCTGCAGGACACCTTCCAGCTCCGAATGCTCAGACCAGAACCTCTCAGAAGCCATCCTGAGAACCCAATTCTCCTGGGGTTTGTTAAGAACCTGCTCTGAGAGCGCAGCTCTGTGTTCCCGCGGGCACACAGCATGAGGCAGGTGGAGCTAATGCGTGCCTCCTTTGCACACATAGTGTCTCTTTCCACATATGTCCTATGGTGCCTGCTCAGGTCTGCCTCACCTGCAGACAACCACACTGAGCGCTGCCTATGTGCCAGCCTCTGCACAAAAGACCTCACGTCTGAAGCACCTGTGAGATGCTCTGGGCCTGGGATGACCTCAGCTCACAGATGATGAAACAGTCACAGAGAAGGTAAGTAACCTGCCCAAGATCACACAGCCAATAGGTGGAAAGAGGGCGGTCTGCTTCTTCCCCCTGTTTTTATCCACTCCAATACCATTTCAATTTACAGGATGTAGCACACAGTAGGTGTTCTTTGAATGTTGACTGATGGACAACCACAGTGCTACCTCAACATGGTCTCCCTTCTTCCTAATGGCAGTGACTGATGGAAGTCTGGCAACTTTGCACCTCCTTGGGTTTTTTTTTTTTTTTGCTATCAATATTCTGCTGACAGCAGAATGGAAAAACATCAATGTTAGTAGCCTTATCAAATTAAAATCCAACTCACAGAGACCTGGGAAGCCTATGAGATGCGTGAGGTCCAGGCTCAGTGGTGTCACCAGGCAGGGTAGGATCCTAGGCTGGTGGCTTGGCTGCTTAGCTCACTCCTTTTCTGCTCCCTGAGAATAAAGTGTCTGCTGAGCCTCCACTAGTATAGAAAGAGAGGAGAACAGTGCAGGGGTGCAGCTTGATGGTGAGTACTTGCCTAACATGCATGAGGCCCTGGGTTCCACCCCAGGACTCCCAGCAAAGACCTTAGGTGTGTAAGATGAGAAAAGCACACAGTGTTCTCCAACAGCTGTGAACCTGGGTCTCTTTAAATGCAGATTCTGAATGGGAGGGGTAAGTGCTAGAGTCTGAAGCTTCCAGGTGACCCGATGCTGCCCTCTGTAGGCCACACCTGTGGAGGGCAGGGCAGTCTGGGGGAGCCCTATGGTGTGGGGAGTGTCTGCTGGGGCTCAGCTTCTCTGCACCTCTGAGGAGTGGGGTGTCTGCTGAGCACAGGGCACCGCTGTAGGGTTCCGAGCTGGTGGGCCACCTGAGTTGTGCACTGAACGAGAAGATGGGAACACAGGTGCGGAATACCATCGAAAGGTCTATGTCCTGAGCTTCCCACACTGGCCCCTCACTCACAGCACTAGCCCAAAGCCTGCACGGAGAAACCTGATGGTGTCAAGGCTGCCATGTATCACTCAGCACCTACCAGGGCCCTGTTTGAGGCAACTCTTAGGACCATCATTAGAAACTCAGAGAGGTTAGGTGATGTCTTTAAGGTCACACACTCCACATGGTCGAGCCTAGATTCAAAGCTGAACTTACGGATTCCTTTCTACCTGGGGTATGCAGCCCTCACTCCACATCAGAATCATCTGGAAAGTTTAAAACCTGACATGCTAAGCCCCCCGACTCCAGAGCAATCACAGCAGAATCTGTGGGGATGCAGGCCAAGTGCAGACGGGACAGTCAGGAGGACAAACTGTTCCTCTGAACCAGTGGGCATCACCTCTGCCGAAAACACCCCAGCATGCCTCAGCCTGACCTCCGGGTGGAGACCCCTCCAGGGCCCAAGTGTCCGAGCTTTCTGAAGTTCCCCAGTCAACGTCAGTGCGCAAAGAGCCGTGAGAGGCTGTGACCCCAGAGCTCCACTGCGGATGGAGGGGAGGAGGATCCACTGCACTGTCTAAGCTGCTTTGGGCCTCGGGGCTCCCTGTCTCTTCTGTGAGTGTCCCCGTTCCCTCTCCGTCCCTCCAGCATTACCACGGTCTGTAGATCCTGAGAGTGGCGCAACAGCCCTTCGGTGACAATCATTCGTTCCGTCAGCGCCATCACGAGCTGCCGCACTTTGGAGCTGGAACATTTAAATTGGTCCACGAGAAAGCGCTGGATGTCTTCCATCTGTTTCCAGAAAGCTTCCATCTGTGAAATGAGCACGAGAGGCGAGAGACGGGGGATGGGGAAGCTTATTTAAGAAAGCTGTCTGGCTTGAGCTTGGGAATTACAATTCATTCCTTATTACCAACAGAGCTACTAAACCATGCTGCAAATCCAGCGAGCTGATCTTGGCCATGATCGTGTTCTACAGAGTCCTCCCCAGACCACGGTGGGTGTCCGTCAGTTTAGAGGGCTTTTCAGCAAACAGCGTCCACCCACAAGGAAGGAAAGCATTGCAACCACCCCACTTAAGGACTCATAAGCAGGTCACAATTACTACCTGGGAGGGCACATGAGATGCACAAGAAACTCCAGTGTCTCTAAAAAGGATTGAATGGGTCCTGGGGCATCCGTGGCTCATGCCTGTAATCTTAGCAACTTGTGAGGCTGAGATCAGGAGGATCACAATTCAAGGCCGGCCCAGGAAAATAGTTCATAAGACTCCATTTCCAAAATAAGCAGAGTAAAAGTAGACAGGAGGCGTGGCTCGAGCAGTAGAGCATCTGCTTTGCAAGTGTGAAACCTGAGATCAAACCCCAGTACTGACAAAACAAAAAAATTATTATCCTAAAAGCACACAAGAGCACTATGTCAGAGAAGAAACTGACCCCAAAATATTTTGCTTCTGAATCTTTTTCCTTTCCTGCCATCTTATCCAGAGCAGACCTGGAATCAACACATGGCTTAGAATGTCGGGGGCTTAAACATGTGACATGTCAGCCTCTCCCTCTCGGAGAACAAAGATGGCAGGAAGTGGAACAGCTGTCCTTCCTGGCAGGCAGGGTACGCACGTGCCAGCTGTGCACCTCACACGCTCATTTCTAGATAAAATATGCACTCTGAAGGCGGCACAAGGGGCTCGGCAGTGCTCAGTCCCTCATCAAAGGCACAGAGCTCAGGAGAGCCAGAGGCTGGATTTGGTTCAGGTGTGTTAAGCTGCATGGCTGGGATTTTCTGCATCTTGGCTGGGCTCCTTGGATGCTGATACGGGCTCTTCTTGCCAGACAGGTATGGGAGGGGCAGGGGTTGGGGGCACCAGGTGTCCATGCTGATCTTGTTACTGTGACTAAAGTTCATGTGACATCTAACACTTCCACTCTGTCAGGTCTGAACACTGAGTCCACCTGGCTCTGCCAGGAGAGAGAGGCACCAGGAGGAACTGGCCCTTCCACCTCAGGGCCTCGCTTGTAGCTCCATGCCTGTCCCTTCTCCTTGAAGGGACACCTGCTCCACAGGTGTCCACATTAGGACTTTCTCTCAGCAAATCAGAGCCCACTCAGGTCTTTTCTGGGTTCCTCCTCCTCCTTAAGTACTGGCAGGATCCAAGATTTGGCATCAGGTTCCTTTCTCTCCCTGTCCTACGCAAGCTCCTGGGCTAGAGGCCTCCCCATTTTGGGAGGCCACCAATACTACAGAGTCTCAGGAAAACCGAGAACCCTCCCCATGGTGCTGTACACAGCTCAGGAGGGTCCTGGACTACTGGAGTCCACGCTGAGTTCTGCCCCCTTAGCCATCTCATCCTGGCCTACAGTTCTAGGAACATTCCAGCCCTCCATATTCTCCTCCTGAGTCCTAAGGGACACCTTCCAATCCCAGCCTTCTCCCACTTGAGATGTCCAAGTGACTGCCATTCATCTGGCAGTCATTCATCCTTATTTCAGCAGCGCTGCCTCTTACATGCTCTTCTTCCCCACCTGCCACCACAATGGACCACCACCTTCATCCTGTCTTTTGCTTCAACCCTCCTGCAGTTGCCTTCATGGAGTTCCTGCTGGGCTAGCCCAACAGCTCCTAAGGATCCTCCACACAGAGCCCGAGTGGTCTTTCTAACACAAAAGCCAGTGTCCCCTTCACCCTGCCCCCATACTGGAACCTTCTATGACTCCCACTTTCCTGGCATGACATGAAAACTCTTGGCCAGGTCTCTCTGCTTTCTTTTGCTCTCTGAACTTGCAATCCTCCCTGGCTCCTCTCTCTTTCCACCCATTGGCTGGCATCTGTACTTATTCTGTGGAGTTGAAATGAACTCCTCTCTCCATGGTGCCTTCCCAGTGTGCTCTCCCACCGCAGCACCTGGAACTGAGACGTTCTAGGCAGGCAGAAAGGGAACAAAAACAGCACCAAGGAACCAGAGGGCAGAGCAGCACCATATCCAGTTACATTTTGCCAAACATCCTCCTCCACCATTGTCCTGGAGTAATGGTTGACCAGGGTTGAGGCTCCTTCTTGGTACAGCATCAGATGGTCACCAGCAATGGACCCCAACAGAGACGTGCCCAACCCTAGTGGTTAGCCAGAGGCCTCAGCTACAGCTGTAGCTCCATTACCAACTTGGCCCTGAGGATCCTTTATTAGGTACACCACTCACTATCCCCCAGTTCCGTCTTCTCGTTTCTCAGAAATCTCCACCGTTATGAACACACTACTAATCATTAAACCTTATCCATAAAAGTGTCAAGTCCAGGGCATTCGGCTGTGAGGTCAGGTCGCCCACCCTCAATCTCCTATGGGGGTACTTTTACTTTTGCTTCCATAAATCTCATTCTGTTAAAACTCCTTCGTGTACCTGCCTCTCAATTCTTTCTTTGGCGAGATCAAGAACCTGCCATTCATCTCTGGTGAGGGAACCATGACATCCTCAACAGCTCACCAACAGGTCTCCCTTGGCATCTCAGCCAGGGCCATGTCCAAATGAATTCTGAATCTCCAGAGCCCGGCATGATGCCTGGTAAAGAGCAGGAGCCAAGGAAATGTCTGCTTGACACCCAGCAGATGAGCAGGACGTGGTGGAACCCAAAAGAAAAGACCAGCCATTTCAAGGAAGCCGTCTTCTCTGGAATTTAACACATGCTTTTATGAGTCATGCCTGAGGCTTGAGGAATTAGCAGTGAATCTACTCCTCCCCATGGGGTGGTAATGACATTGAGGGTTACTGCAGTCTTTGCAATCTGAATGATAAAGTAATAAAAAATCAATCTAAAATGAAAATGAAAAAAACAAAAACCTTCCTCTGTGAACCTCTGTTGCCTAATGACACCTTCTCTATGCTGATCTTTAGAAACTGCCTCTGGGGCAGAATGTGACAGAGAATTCAAGCACTAAGTACCAGCTCTTTAATGTCACCAATGTCACTGTCCCAGAAAGCAAGGTTCATACAAGAGAGAGGAAACATCACGTACGTTGTCCATGAGCTGCTCGGAATAATCCCTTTCCTTCTTCTCCACGTCTGCCAGGGTGATGTAGACAGAGTCACCAACACCCACCATTTCTGTGTTTGACAGTTTGACCTGAAGTCCTTTTTCTAATTCCTCCAAATCCTGAAAAAAAGAAAAGAAAGCAAATGAACAACAACCAAAATTGACCATATCTTAAATTTTAGAAAAAAAATGCTTTTACTTTTTTATCATATTATCAAGAAATGTTTCTTAATAATTAATGCTTTGGACATTGTCCCTAAGGTTTGATGATAAAAACCAGTCTTCCTCATTAAACACAGAACTTCAAGAGCAAGGGATTATTTTCACCTCAAAAAGCATAGGTCATGGAGTAGGGGAATGACTCAGGTGGTGGAGCACCTGCCTAGTACGGCCCTGAGGTGTTTTTGTTTTGTTTTGTTTTTTAAAGACTATATAGGTCATACTTAAAAAACAAGGTAACTTTCAACTACTGCAAAGTCCTAGAAAACGTCACGACATCTAGTGTTTGGGGAAGAAAAGTTTCTTCCTTACTCGTCTGGTTTCCCTAGGGAAGGAACACACAGTACACCCCACTGAAGATGTGCCATGTATTTGCTTAGTGAGTTCAAGACCAGAAAGTGAGCACAGTGGCTTAGCTTGTCCAGCCTCTTCCTCTTTGGGACACCATGCAGGGGAGGCCATGACTCAGCTGTGGTCTCAGCACAGAGCGAGCTGGACAGCAAAGGCCCAGTTGAGGTGGCCTAGCTTTTTGGTAACACACAGGGAGTTGAGCTAGTTCTGGGATTCATAATTAGGAAGCCATCTGCGATTGCTATGCCTCTAGCCACATCCTTCAAAGTGGCCTCTCAATAATAAAGCTGTACTTCCGTATTCATCTTCCTGACTCTTTGCCTCCTGACTGATTCGGAACTCAAGAAGGAACATGGGAGTCCTACGTGTGGTTCCTTTAAACCCCAACATGGAAGGTGGGAGGCAGTTCTCTTCTCTCTACAGCCGTTTTCACTGCCACGTAACCATCATGGTGTAGGACCAGCTTCATCAGGAGAAAAAAGTTGATGAGAACCACTGTGGAGGATCTTTGCCGAGGTGTGATTTCACACCTCCATGCCATCCCTTCAAGACGAAAGGATGCTGTTTTTCTAAATGAGAATATGCATGGTGTTTGTGCAGAGACTCCCAGGCAGGAAGTGACGGTGCCCACTTGTTCCATTCCCCCATGGATCATGCTGCTTCTTGCCAAAGAGCAGCTGGCACTTGTCCTCTTCCAGAAGTCATAAGACTGGTGAGTAGAAAGTGACGTTACACACTTAAGTCATTTAATCAGACTGTCTCAATAAACAGTAGCCATCTTGGTAAGATGTTTGTCCAAGGTCAAACAGACCTCGGGAAAGTAGCAGAGGACAGATTTGGTCTGAGGTCTTCAAGTTGCTTATTCCTTCCATTATAACATGGAGTATTATTTCATTATTACTAGCATAACTATAAATACCACCATTATCTTATTTGTACCATTGGAAAGTCATTTAAACCTACTGAGCGTCAGTTTCCTCAGCTGTAAAACAAAACAAAAATGGCTATCCACAGGGCTGTCATGAAAATCAAATCACGTGTGTCAAGACCTGTGCGCACTGTCTGATGATGATGACAACGGGGGTGTGGTACTGAGGCTGGAGATGAGCATGACCACATACTTCCTCCCCCTCAGGGTCCTGAGAAATTCTTCCCCGCGGAAACCAGAGGGGTGCTGAAGAAGCATTCTCTCCCATACTCCCAAACAGCATGGGCGGAGGTAACAAGGATGCTACTGCTGCTGAAGATAAGGGTGGTGGGAGCAGCACTGAGGGTGACGAACACAGTATTGGTATGTAGGTGCTCACAACTGTGCTGCAGGGGAGGAGGGTGCTGGAGATGACAGTGCTGATAATGGTGACAATAACAATGATGACAGTGAAAATGGTGGCAGTGATGGTACTAAGGATGAGGATGGTGGTGATGGTGGAGATAGGATGGTGGTGGTGGATGTAGGAGGATGGTGAGGATGGTGGAGATAGGATGGTTGTGATGATGGAGATAGGATGGTGGTGATGGTGAGGTAGTGAGGATGGTGATGATAGTGGAAAGAGGACAGTGATGGTGGTGGATGTAGTGAGGATGGTGATGATGGTGGAGATAGTGAGGATGGTTGTGACGAAGGAGATAGGATGGTGGTGATGGTGGAGGTAATAAGGATGGTGATGATAGTGGAGAGAGGACAGTGATGGTGGTGGTGGAGGTAGGAGGATGGTGACGGTGGTGGAGATAGTGAGGATGGTGAGGATAATGGAGGTAATAAGGACATTTATGATGGTGGAGATAGGATGGTGATGATGGTGGAGGTAGCGAGGATGGTGCTGATGGTGAATGATGGTAGTGAGTTGATGACACAGCTGATGAAGACGATAGTGATGATGATGCTGATGACTGAAGTGGTGATGAGGACGAAGGTTGTGATGGTGGTAGTGAGGAGGAACATGTGTGGTTAATTCTGGTGATTGTCAGGATGACAGCAATCCTGTTGATGAGCAGGATGGCGGTGGTGAGTGGTGATGAGAAAGATAACTGTGATAAGGATGATGGTGACAGTGGTATCAGTGGAGGAAATACAAACATGGGGACAATGATGATGGTGATGAAATGATGGCGATGATTGTGGTGGTAGCTGCAATGACAGGGACGATGGTGCTCTCACATGGCACGGTCTATCACTAGGATCCTGATTGCTTGTGAAGGAAGAACCCCGACTCCAACCTCACCCAGTCTAACGCCAGGCCCTGACTCTTTGAGCTGCACACGAAACAATCAGAGCTTTCTAGAAAAAGACTAAAAAGAGTACAAACAGCTATGTCCAAACAACAGATTCTGCCTTTAAAACTACCCCAAACTCACACCCAAAATAGTACTCACTGACTGTCGCTGATCAGTGGACATGATCAGCTTTCAACACTTTTGTCTCATTTGCTTATGCGTCCAAGTGTTTGATAGTAAACACTATCCTTTTCACACCAGTGCACACAACTTTATCACTGTCGTGTTAAAATGCGTATTATAATAAACTCATTTCATACACGAAAACAAAACCACTTTCATATCATAAAACTATGTTTTATATTGTAATAAGTTAGTTTTAAGTTACCTTGATAAACAGTTTAAAGACTTACATGTTCTTGTTTTAAAAGAATCTTCTGGTGTAATTCATCATCGGACTTCCTTTTAGGAAAAAGGTCTAGGAGGCACATTTTAAAAATCTGGATAAACATCTATCGGCAGAAAGGGAAGTTAGCAAGAGAAAGGTTTAGGCCGTGGTCCGTGTGGAGCTTACATAACCTGTGCACATCCCACCATACCCTGAAACGGTGTGTGGATGACTTGCGACACCCAATATGATGCAAATGCTGTGGAAACACCTGGATGCATGATTTAGGGGAAAATGGCAATGTTCGGCACAGACCCAATCCTTTCCCAAAGTTTCCCAACCACAGCTGGTGATTCCACAGACGTGGAACTCACAGATATGCAGGGCTCGCTGTGCTCAGCTCTGCGGTTATGGCCCAGAGGTGGCTGTGTGCCGTGTGCAGCTCTGGGCAACGTACTCTAGTGGGTTAGGATTGTTGAGTACTCTTGGTGCCAGGCTGACATATACACTATAAATACTATTGCCTGGTCTCCACAGCATGTGGGCATGTGGGCACACGCTCTACATTTCACAGACAAGGGTCCCACACTGAGAAAGTGGAGCGATGTGCCTTGGGGGTCACATGGTCACCTCCTCCATTCCTTTGGCAGTGTGGTGAGCACCAAATGCACACCTTGGCTTTCCATGCACCAAAGACTAAGATGCTGGAAGGGCCATGGTTTTCCCAGGATGCTAGTCTCAAATGCGCCCTTCAGATCCCAAACAGAAGCGGTAATGCTGACAGTCCTCACCTGTCCCCTTCTGGAGCACTACTTTTTAAACTTGCAATTTTGAAATAACCCAAGTGTGAAATAATTCTAGATTCAAGGTAATGTGCAGAACTTGCAATCTGCTCTTTCCTGGGCACATCTGCTATGACTGGGCACAGTGTCAGAGGCAGGAAATTATTACTGACTCCACATTTCACACTGTGAGCATGGCCTGACTCCGCGTTCGCCAGCATCAACTGCCCTCGTGGATGTGTGCACGCGTGTGCAGTCTGTGTGTTTTCACCCCCTGTGCACATCTGGTAGGCACTGTCACAATCAAGACAGAGAACATTCTGTCACCAAGAGAAACTCCCTAGTCCCAGCTCCCTTCCTTTATCCCCCCATCCCTGCCCCTGTGTTCTCTGAAGTCACCACAGTAACAACACCACCTCCCCCAAGACCAGGCCAGCTCCTCTCTCCCCAGGGCCAGCCAGGGAGTCCAGGCCTCCGGGCTGCAGGATGGTCATGCAGGCCTTAGTTCCTCTGAACTGACACCTTCAGAGAAACGGGACAATGGCCTTTAGGCCACACGCCTCCTGGCTCACTGCGCTCCTGGAGACTGCACAGAGAGACACACGCTCCACAACTGCAGGACCTTGTCCTGGAAGCAGCTTTTCCAGGATGCTGCTGGCCACTTGTGCACAGCAGGGCACAGTCCTGGGCCCTGGAGACAAACAGACCTGGCACTCAGACAAAAGTTAATCAGATGCAGCCCAGACATCTGCCAGCTGTGTGACCTTGGCTACACGACACGTAAGGCTTTGCTGAGGTAACCTGCTTGAGGCGCTAAGCCTGGCTGAGTCTAAGTGCCGAATAAAAGCGGCCAGCCACGCAATCCCAGATGAAACCAGAGCTCTGTCCTCTCAAAAGACAGCTTGACTTTCTGGTAATTCCATACAGTCACAGAGGACAAGAGGCTTTCTTTCAACCTTTCCCAAAGTGGCCCAGAGAGGGGAAAGTCACACAGGGTCTAAGTCTCAGACAGTGGACTCCAGCCGAGAGCTCTGACACCTAATCCAGGGTTTCCAAACTTCCCTGGGTTCCTGCTTATTCTCACAGGGACATCTACCATCTCCTCAGCCCTGTACTCACTCAGGTGGCCCTGACGCACCTGTGGATCCTCTGTCATTTCTGAGCCATCCTGATGGCCAATGTGTGTTTGTAATGTCTACTTGCTTCCACCCTGCTGCCTGGGTTGGTGGGCTCCATGAAGGTAGGGACCGCTGCTGCTCTCTGAAGCTATGTTCAGTGGGGACTGGAAGAGATACACCTGTACTGAGGGTGACAGCAGGCTGCTTTTGGGGCACCTGCTGGCTGCTCTCTGGGAGGCCGGCCAGGACTACATTGCTTGCCAGCAGGAGAGGCTCCAAGAACATAATCCAGGATCCTCCCCGGAGTAGAGCCCCTAAGAAAATGGCCAGGGCCCCTGAGGAGAGTAGGCATGGCCCTAGGAAGCAGGCTGCAGCTAGTGTTGTCTGGCTAGGGACTCTGGGGTGGGGTGGCGGGGGATAGGGGCACAGGGACACATGCTAGTTCTTGGACTCTACCAAAATCCACAGCTTTAAGCACTGACCCTTGGGCTAAGGCTGCCTGCAGGGAGCCCAGAGCTCTGTGAGGTGCACCCTCGGTTCCATAGCCTCCACTTCTCCAGTTTGTCACCATGTGCCCTGTGGGTCTGTCTGCCTGTCTGTGTTGCTCTCTCCTTTTCTCTTCCCCTCTCTCTGGAGGTCATTCCTCATTCAGTGGTGCAGAGAATATGCCTTGGGGACACAGAATTCCTTTCTAAGCCCTGAAGTCTCCATGACAGGCTAAAGCCAAAGGGTCCAAGGACTCAGTGCAGTGGCCCCCGTGGCTTAGACCCAGGTGGGCCCGCTCCGAGGCCAGTCCCTGCAGAGGCCACCTTGCTTTCCTCCCGATGTCTGTGTGACCACCTTTCTTCTGTTCGCCCAGAGAGATCATGCCTGTGAGTCTGTTTCCAAGTGCCTATGGGCTCCATGGACACAGAAAGCCTTTGTCCCTTTCCTGTCCTCAAGACAGGGAGAGAGAGGGACCTTTTCCACCCACCATGTGCTTCTCCCGCCTCAGCGCCGAGTCCAAATGCAGCAGATCTTTTAAGTGAAGGCTGTAGACACACAGGTCCATGTCCGTGCTGAGCAACCGGAAGAGAAAGACAACAGACAGTCAGAAGACTGGCCCGTCCCTGCTCGGGCCACATGTGGTGCTTTCTGCTCCATGTTCATTCTGTGATGACTGACATTCCTCACACCCACCATGGGTATGCAGAGGACAGTGAGCTGCCGGGGACCAGTATGACCAAAGGGGACACAGTGGCAGGGACACAGCTGCCTGGGAAGCCAAGGTGAAATGCATCCAGAGAGAAACAGAAGTGTCACTTCCCCCTAGAGCACTGTGTGACTTTCCTCAGTGGAGGATCAGGACAAACATGTGGTCATCTGGTCCCCACATTTTGGGGTCTTTTTGCCCTCAGCATGCTGTGACAAGTCCTCTTAAGTTCAAATGCCCAAGCCAGGGCCTCTCCTGGACAATCTTCAGGGCCAAGGCCAAGACCAAGGGTCTGAGCCATCCCTTCCCAGCTCCGGTCGGGGGTTGGCCTGTCACCCCACCCCTTGTACTGCAGGAAATCTGGAACAAAGAAGCCTTAGAACTGCTGTCCAAACCTGCCAGACAGCGTTCCTCCAGCACCTGCCACAGTCCAGCCCTGCTCTGGGCTGACATTTGGTGATTTGCAGTGAGGGTATTGGAGGTAGACAAGGCGGTTGGGTTAAACCCAGCTCCATCACTCACTGCTGTGTGACCCTGAGCAAATCACTCAGTTTCTCACGTTGTTTTCTGTGTGAAATGGGGCAAATACCAGCATCCACCTTATAGGGTTGCCAGGAGGAATTCATTCATTTTTGACTAGTGTTTATTGACCACTCAACCTGGCTAGGCTCCTGTGGCTGGAGGACAGGGGCACAGCAGTGAATGCAGCACCTGGTCCTCATAAGTTAGGAGACAATCCCAAAAAAGTACTGCACAGTTGGCCCACCTGGCACTCACAAGACGCCCCTCAGGGCCCCAACAATGCATGGTTCATGTCAGTGATTAAGTCAGGCCCCTTGCACCTCTTCCCAGAGCTCAGGCCTGACTCTGTAACCCCTGATAACTGATCGACAACCATGCAGCAAGTGAAAAATGCCTTTGGATCTTCAGCTCTGATGCTGGGTTGCTACGTGCCTCTGCCTGAGTCACTTAAGCTCTCTGAGCCGAGTACATCTTTGAAAAGTGACCCCCACCCCCACCCCAGCCCGCACTAAGGAAACAGGAGCCTCATCTTTCCCTGGATCCTCCTTACCTCTCACAGGCCAGCACCTCGGGGAAGCTGCTCACCCGGAGGAGGGCACGGCTGAGGACCCTGTCATCGCTGGCAGCCGAGTGCATGCTCGATGAGGAGCTGCAGTCGTCCTTTTCGGCCTGGCTCAGGCTCCCCAGGCTGCTGGCAGGGGAGGCCTCCATTGGCTGGTGCGGCAGCACAGCCTGCTTCAGGTTCTCATGCAGAGATGGCTTGGAGGAGCCATCGGCCAGAGGCTGGGGCAGAGGACAGTCATGCTGTCAGACCACAGACTCATTGCCAGCGTGTTCTAGTGCAATGCAGGGGACACTGTGAGGACAGACAGCTTGTCCCACACCATGGCCATGCTCACAGCTCAAGAACCGTGTCACAGCCCCTCAGCACCAGGCTCTCACCCCTGGATCTGTGCCTGTGATCTGTCCACAGCAGCCACCTGCACTGACACAGCTCTCCTGCTGTCATCTCAGCTCCTGACCTGTGTTGCCCACCACTGTGCTCCACTTGCACTGACGTGGGTCACCCTCTGCCCCAGCCCTCAAGGTCCCAGCTCTGCCCTTCAACAGGCCCCAGCTCCTAGCAAGGACCTCCACCCACATGCAACATGGCTGTGAGTCACAGATTGGCGTCTGCACAGCAGAAGGGCTTGGCTAACACCAGTGCTGTGCCATCCAGCCTTGTCCACTGCTGCCCAAGCTGTGCTGGGCATTTTCTGCTCTGGGTCTTTCCAGACTCCAGGCTGGGTCCTGAAGGTCCCTGGCTGTTTCTAGGTGGCCTGCTTAATCTCAAGTCAGCTCTGCACAGACTGTAAAGCCCTCCAGTGGGGGGTGATGCTCTCCTGACTGTGGGAGTCCCAGGGTCCCCGCAGGGGCTGTGCACAGGATGCATGGCCACAGTGCTGCTGATATACAGCGTCCCTTCCATCCACCCCCAGACAGCCAAGTGAAGAGCATGCTGCCCAATATGTATTCCAGGGAATGGTTCCATGAACTATAACGAGTCACAGCTCACTACAGAGTTCCATGGGAAAATTAGTTTGGGAAGTGTTGCTTTAGACAAGACAGAGGGATCCCCGGTACAGGACCAGAGCCTCCTGTGCTCTGGTCGTCCTCTGAGGCAAATCGTACTTTAAAAACCCGCCACATATGCCACACACTATTCTGAGCTCCTCTCCCAGTCCTAAACCTCAGAACAGCTGGTGAGGTGGAAGCACTCATTGCCCCTATTCATAGCTGGGGAAACCGAGGCATGGAGAAGTCAGTCACAGTAAATGCTGAGATGGCAGTCAGGATGAGACCCTGGGATTCAGAACTTGTCCTCTGAACACCTAGCTGCTGTTACAAAAAAAAAAAAATGGCACCAGAAAACAGTGATGGTGAATTTGCTGCAGGGCTAATGCTTCACACACTCACTGATCCTTACAAGTAACCACAGAGGCCCCTGTTCCTGCTGGCCTTGGGTCTGGGAATGTACAAGCCTGGGATGCTTTGGTGCCTGTAGGAAATACAGTGCAATGGCAGCTCCCTAAAGTCACTTGGCTGGGACAATCTGCTCATAGAGCCCCTCCTAGGCCCAGGGCTCCCCACAGTGCAATGGATGCCCTCTGCACAGTCCTGGTCCAGGGGCACTCCTGGCCTGTCTAATCTGGTCTGTCACAGAACAGATTAACTTTCAAGTTTTGCTCCATAGCCTCAAAATAACCCCTATTAAAATAACCTGCCATAGAACCCGTGAATAGGACCGAAAATGACACATTTAATCCCCTTCACTCCTACCTGGATGTCTAGTACATCTAGTACATTATTGAATTGACTGCATTTCTAAGATGGAGCTCAGAACTCTCACCCGGAACTTTTGGTTGATGGGGTAGACGACTCTGGCCTTCAGTGCAAATGCTGTGATGTTACTGTTATAAGATGACTCACACTCCTGTGAAGGAGAGAGGAGAAATGGTGTGACAGGCTTCTTGCAAAATGAAGGATAAACCATCAAGGGTTTCCAAGGTGTCATATTCCAGTGATACCAGTGGTGTTGGAAAGGGGTCACAATGGGCCATTTAGATCCTTGCTAGAAGGATGGATGGATGGGTGGATAGGAGGATGGATGTAGGGATGAAAGAGTGGCTGGCTGGATGGGTGAATGGGAGGATGGATGGGTGAATGGGAGGATGGATGGATGGATGGATGGGAGGGTGGATGGGTGGATGGGAGGATGGATGGGTGAATGGATGAATAGGTGGACTAACTGACGGATTGGTCGATGGTTGTGTGGATAGATGAATGAATGGATGGACGGATGAATGAACAGGTGGGTGGAAGAGGGTCTGGACAAAAGCTTGGGCAGGCAGATATTACCATTTAATTCAAATTCCCTGGTTTTGGAAATAATAAGGACTTGAATAACTCGAGATTAATTAACAGCAATCTCCCAAGGAACTGTGAACCACCTTTGAGTGGCAAAAGCAAGCACGTGAAATAGATTTAAGAGGTGAGGGATCAGTCCTAGTGTTCCATAGCACCATAGGGTCACTATCACCTACAACAATGTGTGATACATTTCCAAACCAGTAGACGAAAGATGCTGGAGCTCCTGACATAGAGAAATGGGAAGGTTTGAGGAGATAGGTGCTATTTAGCCAGATTTGATCATAACACATTGAGTACATACTGAATTATTGTACTGTACCCCACAAATATATACAATTATTTGTATCAATTAAAAATTTTAAAAATAATCTTAGCATTGTCAAGGGTATAAACACACAAGACAACACTCACACAGGATTTTGCAACCTAACCTTAAACAAAAAAGAAGCAGTTGGGTAAGACTTTGAACTTCTCTGAGCCTCAATTGTCCCAGTCAATAAACGAGTTTGGGACATTTGCTCCAAGTTCACAGCTGATTCCTGGAACAAAAGAGATGCCAAGCCTTGGGCAGCTGCTGTCAAGATGGTCTCTGGCAGCTCAAACCCTGCTGGGCAATCACCTCCCTTGAGAAGCCTTTCCTGACTGTAGCGGGACTGACTGACTCACAGCCTGCCCTGCATCCAGACCTCCTCTGCACCTCTCCTGGGGGACCAAGTCAGTGACTTGCAGGAAGTGAGCGAGTTGGTGAAGGCAGTGTGGCAGGCTGGAGCTGCCTCCAGATCTCTCCGCAGAGGAGTTCTGAGCAGGCTGAGCTGGCAAACACATCCACCTGCCTCAACTGGGAGAAAGTGCAATTCTGACCCCCGAGAGGCAATGCAACCATTCAGAAAGTGGCCACAGTACAGTCCTTCAGAAGCTAGTGTGAGTGTCCCTAACCTACCTGAAGATACCTCAGCCAACACATGAACACCTCCACAGGGCCCCAGCCCCTTCTCCTCCCTCGACAGTAAGGAGCGGTATGGAGCCCAGGCTGGGGACGGCAGACCTCAGAGCCTCCTGAATTTCCAGAGTGCTTTTGAACAACAGGGGTTATTCAATAAACAGTTCACCCAAGGTTAGCGTGGAGAGCGAGGCCCAGGCTTTCTGTGTGCTGGAGGATGCAGAATTGCAACTGGACGCACCCTGCCCGAAGCAGTACAGGAGCTCACCCTCTGTTTAGCCAGTGGCATAGGCAGATATTGAACTCAACTCTGAGCAATCATTAACTTGGTAATGGCAGCTGCAGCCTCGGTGAAATGCCTAACAGGTAAAACATTGCCAGGCGGAAAAGAAACACGTTAACCTTCCAGAGGGAAGACAGTCTGGCCAGCTGCTGACAGATCTGGAAGGGCCTTTGGTGACTGTGATGGGAATTTCTAGTGAACTCAACCTTGAGGGTCCTGAGGAGGGAGCCGTTGTGACTGTCACTCTAGAGGGAAGTACCTTGCAGTTCAGCCAGGTTGTATTATTCCCAACATCACACAGCAAATAGTAGCAGAGCCAGGGCTGGGCTCCACTCTGGATCCCAAAGCCAGTGTCCTTTCCATCCCATCCAAAGCTACCCTGTGTGTTTTTTCTTTCTCTTTTTAATAGTTTTGATGAAGTAGAATTCATACGGCATACAATTCATCCTTGTATAGCATCACCCAGCTTTGGTGTATAACTTTTTGGTATCTTCACAGATATTGGCAGTATCACCACAGCCAATTCTGGAAAGTTTTATCACATCAAAGAGAAACCCTTGGGCCAGGCAAGGTGGCTCATGCCTGTAATCTTAGCTATTCAGGAAGTAGAGATCGGGAGGATAACAGTTCGAGACCAGCATGGGCAAAAAGTTCCTGAGGCCCCCCCATCTCAGCCAATAAAACACTGGGTGTGGTGGCACATACCTGTCAAATCAACTACAAGGAAAGCATAATAGGAAGATCACAGATCAGGATGGCCTAGGCATAAAATAAGACCCTATTCAAACAATAACCAAAGCAAAAAAGGGCTGGGGGGCATGACACAAGTGGTACAGCACCTGCCTAGCAAGTGGGAGGCCCTGAGTTCAAACCTTAGAACCATCAAAAAAATAAATGAAAAACAGAAACCCTTTACTATTCACCCACTCTCCCTTTTCCTTGTTCCTGCCCCTGGCAACCACTCATCTACTCTCTGTCCACGCAACTTTCCAGTTCTGGACATTTCCTATGAACAGAGATCTGTACTATGTGGTATTTTATGACTGGCTTCTTTCATTTAGCACAGCTTCAGGGTTCACACACACTGTAAGATGTATCAGTATTTAGTTTCTTTTCATGGTCAAATAATATTTCATCGTATCATATATCATTTACCCCATCTTCAGCCAAGGGCTGTTTGTGTTGTTTCCACGTTTTGGCAATAGTGGAAAAGTTTTGTGTGCACACGAGTTTTCCTTTCTGTAAGCAGGCTCTTAATGTATGAAGGGAGGGAGAAGAACAGAAGAGAGAACTGAGGGAAAGAGAACAGAGCCAGGGGTGCAGCACACCCCTGTAAACTCACACACTGTCGTATGGAGACCCTCTGAGACACACATGGAGTCAGGGATGGAAAGTTACACAGAGAGATGCCATCACCTACTTGTTCACAGACACACATGAAGAGATGAACACACAGAAACAGAGACGGGGAGCAGGAGCTAGAGACACGCAGCATGTGGAGGAGGAAGCACAACTGGTTTGCCCGTAAACCCTGCTACTGGAATCGCAGTGGCACTCTCTCTGTCATTTCTGTCACCTCCACAGCAGATCCAGGTTGGTAGCCCATCCCTCTGCAAGCCAGGAGAGCCCTATTTCTGGGAATCTTTGAGAGGTGTGGGCAGGGGGGATGGCCAGGAAGATTAGAATCTGATGTCTAGCGACTTCAAAATCTCACTGCACCCAGCCCACTCTCCTCTGCAATCAGTTGAGGCCCCTGGCCTCCTGGATGAAACCGTGGGTGCAGCAGAATGCAGTGGGCAGGGACCAAAGAGATCCAGGAGCAAACCCAAGCTCAGCTATGCCCCAGTTGTGGGACTCAGGGACTCTCTGAGCTTCAGTGTCCTCATCTGGAAAATGGGGACATGAATTAGCACATGACAATTCACAAGAGGCTTTCATTGCACAAAGGGTGGGCACATACATATACAGTGGCCTGGCATCAGTGGATTGCTGAAGCAATGCCCCCTTTCCCAGGAAAGGAAGACTGCAGCTTTTTTTGGGGGGTGGGGCTAGAAATGTCACCCCCTCTGCACCCACAGAGCTCACCCAGGGAGATGCTCTGTGGAAGGCTCAGGATGGACAGGGTGAGGGTGCCAGGAAGGGGCATGGAGGAGCCATACTTATGAGATCTCTGCCTGGGCCCAGCACCGCCCCCAGCACTGCCCCCACCTCCATATTTGCTTAAGAGAAATGAAAAGAAATAGATGCATACATGAACGTTTCGTGGCAGTCTTACTCCTAACCGCCCAACAAACACTGGAAACCCCCAGGCCATCAGGCCATCACGCAACCCATGCTGAGCGGTAATGGGGCACACAACAGAAAAGCTCGAGTTGAGGTTGTGCCACAAAGCAGGGTGCTCTCAGAGGCAGCTGAGGGGGTGCAGGCAGAGGAGCACAGGATTCGGTTTGCAGAAGTTCTCGACAGCAAAACCAACCCACAGCCATGCAGCTCGCACCTGGGGTTGCTTGAGAAGTGCAAGTGTAAGGGTTGAGCTTTCTAGGGGTGGGATCCATCACTAGGGCTCTGTGTTTGTCACAACTCATCAAATCATAAACTTAAAATCAGTGCATTTTACTGTATGCAAATGATACCTTATGTAAATGAGGCCTATCAGGAAAATAAATGTGTCAGAGGATTAAGCTCGTGGCATGACACCTGGGCGGGCAGGAGGGTGACATCCAGCATGTGCCCAGGCAAACACAGACACAGGCTTACCTCCAGAGCCTCCTGTGACACGTGTGCTTCTCTCTTGCGCCTCCTGGTGGGGGAGCTGGTTTCCGATGGGGTCTGAGCATCAGGCTCCAAATGCCTGAGCAGGTGCTGAGTGTCGTCCTTCTGAAATCCAAAGAGAAGGAAAACGGGACCCCAGAGTCCATCAGCCTCATCTGTGTCCCGGGAATTTAGCCAGTGACTCCTCTACCAGCAGTCACCTCTGTGTCCCCTACCCACCTCCCATGCCCACTTGAGGTCTCTATGCATCCTTCAAGACTGTCCAGGCCACCTTTCCAAGATATGAGCCCCAGAGATGTCCATCTCAGTGTGCCCCAGGACTCAGGATGCCCTTGGAGTAAAGCTCATCCATTCTTTTTCTGGGTCGGGGTCCCAATGACCATGGGCTCCTCTTTTTGCAGCAGGAACTGCAAAGAAATATTGATGCTCCTGCTGTTTTCAATGACACTGACCAGTTTCTTAGAAAGGTTACCTTAAAATATGGAGTGATTTGTATTGCAAACTATAATTGATGTCCATTACTTGTGAATCCTGTATGTGCAAAAATCACTTACTCGCTAAAATTGATTTGCAATATCGAAGCCAGTATTTAAAATCCTGTTACGGCAGATATACGTATCAACTTCTGCATTGACCCCTAGTTGCTCTCGAGGTACTCTGCACTGAAGGAGTATCACCTGTTTGTCATTGGGTTAGTCGGCAACAATCACTGAACACACTCCACACACCCAGTCTTGTTCCAGGCCCTGGGGACAGTGATGAACACACACTTGAAATCTAGGGCTGACACTCCAGTGTGCCAAGAAAGATATAAACAAATGTTCAAATAAGTACTCAGCATGCAGGGATGATAAGTGCTATAGAGAAAAATACAGAGAATGGGAGAATGGAGAGTGACTGTTGGGGAAGCGCCTTGGTTGAGGTAGCATTTGAGAAGAGACTTAAAAGAAATGAGAGAGTGAGCCTTGAAATCCCTTGGAAAAGAGCATTCTAGGGACAGGGAACAGCAAGTGCAAAGGCCCTGAGGCGGACAGAGGCTCAGCCTGTCTCAGGGAGTCCATGCATCTGGAGCAGTCTGGGGTGGGTACTGGAGTGCAGAGGGACAGACGATACAGCTGGAGATTTTGGAATTGTTTGTTTAGCAACTGTATCTGACCAGTACAAAGGTTGTGTAAGGAAGGACCCAGTCAGCTCAGCCTACATTAAGACTCCCAATGGAAAACCCCATCCACTCCACAGGGGGAGCATCAGTTTTTTTAGTTCCCACTTGAAAATTACCAGGAGACCAAGAGTAACCAGCCATTTGAGGACAGACTCTACTGTGAAAGGTAAAACCCAAAACAACAAAAGGAAAAAGTGAGCAAGAAACAACTGCACAGGAAAAAGAAAACTTAAAAACAAATGAGAAGTTATAATTTCCTCAGAGAGATAAGACAGTCTGTTCACAAAATAGGAACAGGGCTGCACAAACACAGAGGATTCTGAGTGTAAGAACTCTTGAACGTTAAATTGTGAAAAATCCAAAGCCAAGTATGAAGTTGAGAAAAGTCTTCCAGAAGGAAGCATTAAAAACAGACAGAAGAGATAGGACACTGGAGAGGAAGACTAAGATAATAATAGAGGGCTGATTCAACCTAAATAATAGAAATTCTTTAAAGAAACAAGAGAACATATAAAATAATCCTCAAAGATATCAAGAACACATGGCCCCACATGGAAAGAGAAAGATGAATGCCCAGTGCTGGCAGTAGGACCCACCCAGACCCATCCTGATGCAACTTCATATACCAGGGGCAAAGAAAAGACTCTAAGAGTCTATCGAGGAACAAAAGAAAAAGAAATTTTATGCAAATCATCAAGGCTCAGAATACAATCAAATTTCTCAACACCAACTATGGAAGTAAGAAAAAAAATGAAAAATGCCTTCACAAGTCTGGGAGAAAATGATCTCCAACCCGAAATTCTATGCCTACTGAATCTAACTAAATTAAGTATAAGGATGGAAGACTGTGGATATTTCTAGATATAGATGTTCTCAGGAGTTCCATCCATCCCATTCTCAGAAAACTACTATAGGATGTGCTCCATTCACATAAGACAAGTGCTCAGGATCCCTAAAACGGGATCCAATCAGGACAGAGGGGAGGGAGTCCCAGTATAGTGGCCCTGAAAATTCTTAATGACTACTGTGAATACCTAGGGTGGTTGGTTCTTAAACTCTAAGTAAACACATCTTGCTGGACCCTGTCCAAAGGCTCTCAAGCAGAGAGTCTGGGGTGGGGGTGGAGGGCCCAGGACTTTGCATTCCTACCAAATTTCCTGGTGATCTTAAGGTTGCTGGTGCAGTCCACACTTTAAAGAGCAACTAGTTAAGCTTGGAGCATATCAGAATGTTTCTGGGAGAGGTGTTTTTCTCAAGAAGATAAAATTGATCAAATACATTATGCATTCAAATGTCTTCAAATGTACACACATGAGGAGAGTTTAGTGTTGAGTGAATGATAATCACATTGACTTCAGCAAACAAAAATATCTGGCAACTATTATTTTCATGGAAAATAAAATTTTATACAGGACAGGAAGGCAGATGTAATGGTAACCACTCCCTGACTCACAGTGAATAATATGTACAGAATCAAATGAGGGAATCCTGAGAAAACCCAGTGGGGGAGGGGGTGATATGGGAAAGGGTGGGTGTACTCATGGAGGAGAGAGGGAGCTAAATCCTCCTCCCTTCCAACATGGGAAGATGATGGCTACTGCCAGAAAACAAAAGCCACAGTATTGCAGTGTAGTCATCAAGAGATGGGAAGAAATGGGAACTCCTTCGCTTCTGAGATGTGGGAATGGGAGGGGGTTGCTGTTTTCAAACTAACACTTTAAGTGATGTGTCAGATCACTTTGATGCAAATTAAAAAGACAAGTCACATATGAAGGCAAACCCATGAGAATAACAGCAGATTTCTCAACACAAATTCTTAAACACAAGAAGGTCATTGGAAGGCATAATTCAGGCCCTGAAAGAAAGCAGCTGTCAGCCTAGACTAGTCTATCTAGCAAAACTATCCTTCCTAATTGAAGGAAAAATTAAAACCGTCCACAAGGAAAAACTAAAGGAATTCATGACTACCAATCCAGCACTACAGAAGATACTTAAAGGACTTTTACACACAGAAGAAGAAACTAGAGTGAGACAGGTAGAGTCAAGAAAGAATAAACCCTTTTGAGCAAGCAGACCAGTAAACAAGGAATAGGTAAAAGTAAAAAACAGGGGAATAAAAATGACTGGAAACGACAGGCACTTCTTAATTTTAACACTGAATGAAAATGGCCTCAATGCCCCAATCAAAAGACATAGAATAGCAAACTGAGTTAAAAAACAAGACCTAACATATGTTACTTACAAGAGACTCATTTTACTGAAAAAAGTAAACACTGGCTTAGAGTCAAAGGGTGGAAAAAAAGTTTTCCAAGCAAATGGATCCTATAAACAGGCAGGAGTAGCTACACTCATATCTGACAAAGTAGACTTCAGACTAAAATCAGTCAGAAGAGACAATGAAGGTTATTTCATATTAATGAAAGGAATGATTCATCAAGAGCAAATATCAATCCTTAACATATATGCATTAAACACAGGGACACCCATTTATTTAAAAAAAACAAACAAACAAACTCTCTAATGGCCCTAAGAGCACAGATAGACTTTAACACAGTGATAGTGGGAAACCTGAATACCTCACTGTCACCAATAGATAGGTTACCCAAACAAAAGATCAACAAAGAAACTTCAGAGCTTATCCACATTAGACCAAATAGACATGGTTGATATCTACAGAGTATTTCACTCAACAACTAGCAATACAGCTACCAGAATCTGTGAAACACAACAAAGGCTTGCTAAGGGGAAAGTTTATACCTGTAGGTGCCTACATTAAAAGACAGAGACCTCTCAAGTAAACAACCTAATGATGCACCTTAAGCTCCTAGAAAGACAAGAACAAACCACACCCCAAACCAGCAGAAGGAGAGAAATAATAAAGATCAGGGATGAGATTAACAAGATCAAAACCAAACAAACTACACAAAGAATCAGTGAAACAAAAAGTTGGTGCTTTGAAAAGATTAACAAACCTTAGCCAACATGACAAAATGGAGGAGGGAAAGACCCAAATTAATAAAATCAGAGATGAAAAAGGGGACATAACAATAAATACTAATGAAATCCAGAGAATCATTAGAGAGTACTTTAAAAACTTACATTCCCAAGTAAACTGGAAAATCTAGATGAAATAGATAAAATTCCTGGATGCATATAAGCAACCAAAATTGAACCAAGAAGATATAAACCACCTCAATAGTCCTATTACATGCAACAAAATTGAAGAAGTAATAAAGAGTCTCCTTACAAAGAAGAGCCTAGAATCTGATGGATTCAGGGCCAAATTTTACCAAAACTTTAAAGAAGAACTAACACCAACACTCCTCAAACTTGTCCAGGAAAAAGAAAGGGAAGGAACACTACCAAACTCATTCTATGAAGCAAGCATTACATTCATTCTGAAACCCAATAAAAACATAACCAGAAAAGAGAATTATAGACCAGTATCTTTAATGAATACAGATGCAAAGATGCTCAACAAAATACTGGCAAACAGAATTCAACTACATGTCAAAAAGATCATACACCATGACAAAGTCCATTTCATTCCAGGGACACAAGGATGGTTCAACACATGTAAATCCATAAACATGATACAGCATATAAACAAAAGCAAGGACTAAAACCACATGATCCTTTCAATAAAAAAAAAAAGTCTGTGACAAAATCCAACATCCGTTCATGATAAATGCTCTGAAGAAACTAGGAATAGAAGGAATGTTCCCCAACATAATAAAGGCTATATATAAAAAACCTAGAGCCAACTTCATTCTAAATAAAGAACAACTGAAACCGTTCCCCTTCAAGTCAGAAATGAGGCTGTCTGCTTTCTCCACTCCTATTCAATATAATTTTGGAATTTCTAGCCAGAGCAATAAGACAAGAGCAAGAAATAAAAGGGATTCAGATGATATGATCCTATAACAAAAGACCCTAAAAAAAA